ATATGTATATAAGTAAAATATTTTAAGTTTTGATGATTAAACATTTTTACGTAACACCTGTTTTGTGTATCGATTACAGTACAATATTTTTGTTCTATAATATTTTTGTCACGTGGAGAAACACAGCTGTAACCTCATCGGCCAAGTTCACGCCAATCAGATGTTATTTAATTTAAATTCGTTAAGTCGGATGTTGAGACAAATTGAAAGACAAAAGTTCAGTGTCCTGAAATCAGTTCGTCAATAAATACCATGTAATATAACTTTGATGGAAGCTAACCATATTTGGCTAGAGCACTTAGCCGTCAATATTTAGTTACAGCAGTGTTTCTCGCATAGCCTTGAACTAAAGTATAGTTATTTTTAACATCACTTTCTCTTCTCTCCCACATCCTCCACCTCCACTTTTGCTGAATAGGTGAATCCTGATAGCATCGCTGAGAGAGCAGGATTGCAAACGGGAGATGCGATTTTAAAAATTATGGGACGTAGTACGGAGACTATGAAACACAAGGAAGCTCAAGATACTATTGTGAAATCCGGAAATTTATTAGAAATGATTGTTGAGAGGTATTAAAATATTCAATAAAATTAATTAAGATGTAAATATAAATCAATACTACAGCATTTGAGAGAATATTTGATATACAGGTGGCAAGTTTGTTACGTCTTGTTTCCTAGCAAAGATGAAACAACTTTGCTAGGTTTTGAGTGACCATAAAAAAAAAAAACAACAGAAACACTATTTTTTTTTACTGTAAAATCTTATAGGTCATACCCCGAATTCTTAACTTCTCTACCCGCAAAACTCTTAAGAAAAATTAAAATTAAACATAATTTGAATAATCTCAATATTTATTTTGTATTTATCAGTGATAAATTCGAAACAAGTTTTATAACTGACGAGTTACGAAAAATCTATACCGTAGACTGATAATAGGTGATTAACCTTTAGAATATTTTTATGATTATTAGTTGGAATTCGGATGATTCATGTATCTAAATTTCATTCAAATTTTAATTGACAGATGAAAAATAAATATTTAAATATAAATTTATGTTAAAAGCCTAACTTTATGAAAGTTTTATTTTATATTTAATGGGTTTTTTTATTATCGGTTTCCGCCTTTCTTTAAAACACTAAGAGGAGCCATCCACGAATAGAAAGATGAGTAAGATTCGAATTTAGGCCCTCCTAGTGGAAGCGTGTCACGCTTTCACTTTGCCACCCACAATCTTTAATAATTTATAATTATGTTGAATAAGGTTATATCTTTCTGAAACATTAAATAAAATTTTAATATATTTATATATTTTATAACTATAAATAAGTTAAGTAATTTTAAGTTCTGACTGAGATTTCATTCTAATTTTTAAGTTAACTTAGTGTTAAGTTTTAGCATACTTTTTTGTATTTTTTAAAATATTTAATCGTCTTAATTCGGTTCCAAACATAACAGAAAACGTTATATTTACATAAGAAGCGATTAATCTTGGAAAGTTATATAAGAAAATTCTACCTGAAGATTAGTCACCCTAGGTCCAAATGCCTGCCAAATATTTGCAAAATTCATTAACTATGATTCAGTTACTGGTTTGTAAGTTCCAAAAAGATAGGTTTTTTTTTTATTAATTTACAAACCAGAATTAGAAAGATTTTTTATATTGAAATAATTACAATTTTTATTAATGGAGTTAACGCTTCCCGTATTGCGTTTATGCTAAAACAGAGTAAGATTAAATTCCGATTTCAGCAAACGAAATCCCTTTTTCTTTTAATTTATTATATAATTAAACACGTTCATTTATTACAAGATTTTTTTTTTGTGGTGGGAGAAAGGCTAACTGTTCGCCTGTTCTCAATGAAAGTTTTGTTCGATGACTAGTGACGTCATTGACGCCAAGATGGTTGCCCGTCTATTGACCTTGTTTGGAACGCGCGGCAAGACAAGCATCTCTTACTATAAACAAGTCAAAAATGAATTGCTATATACTTTTTAATTAATAAATTCTTTTATTTTAAGTTTTCTGAGTAATTTTCAAGAAAGGAAATCCTATAATGTAACAGAATATTCTCTAAATTTGCCATATAAAAATTTTTTTTTTTCATAAACCACTTTATCTTAGAGCTACTCGAATGGATCAATATGAAATATAAGACACTACTAATGTGTCGAAATTTATTTTTGCTCATTGCATACGTATTAAGAAGTAAAGAAAAGTTAAAATAAAAATAATAAAGTATTTAAATTAATATTTGTGTGTTTAATAAATACATTTATGTCGTAGGGAACAATATTAGTAAAAAAAAATTTTTTTTTTCGGTATAGAAAGCGTGACGTCGTATCTTATCAGCTAGCTTACGTTAGACAAGGTAAAAAGAAAATGCTTCAAGCTAATTTTGTTTACGAAATGCTTCAGATTTAGATATTGCACATCTGGTTGAGAAGTTTTTCTCTTAGTAAATTCTGACATGCTTTACCTGATAGTCAATTTTAACTTTTAAAACACACCATGCCCTTAGGAGGAATGATGAATAATGCTTATAATTTTACCAGCGTTTTTTTTAAAGCTAATTTTAAGAATTTCTTAGTCGATTACAAATATCTAAATTTATATTTTATTAGAAAAATAAAGTATTGATATAAAACTANTTATGTTTTAATGTTTAATACAACTAAGAAGAAATTAGTTCAATTTTTGACTTACAATCTCTTTATCGTATTGGATAACGTTTTTAAAATTATTTTATCCACTCATTCTGACTTCTCATCTATAAATTACTTCTTTTTTTTTTAAAATCTTTCGGGAAGCTACCGAGATGTGTCAGTCTGTTTCTTGTCAAGGCCTCCATAGAAAGAGAGTGGGTGATATTAGCTACAGGAAGTTATTTTTAGTTAAACTATGAAAATAGACAAACTATTTTGTTGCGTCTACTCTGATATGTTTATTTCGGAGTTTAAAAACGAGATAACATTACATATGTTACATAACTAGAATTTCTTTCCAATTTACTTCGATATAATAATTAAAATATAGATAAGATCCATACTTCGTAGGTTTGCTACCGCTTGCCTCCATTTTACTCTTTCTCTCTTAGCTTTAATCGAAACTGAAGTACAGTATCTCGCGTTTAACTAATAACTCGTAAAACAAGGGAATTTTATGAGATTTTCTGCTTTGTTTATTGTTTGTTTTGTACGGAACGTAAGAGTTTAATAGCTACAACGAACTGATATTTGATCTTTTCGAAAAGTTGTACTTAGAAGTGGTGAGTCATTTCGACTGTGTCTAGCCGGATATGGAAACGTTCCCATCCGTGCCTAGAAAACTAGTTCGTGTTTTAATATATATTATGTTATGATCTGGCAAACGTTCACAAAATGAAGTCCAAGAATTCCAAAAAGATAACACTGTAACAGAAACTCTTCAAAATTTCATTCCTTCTTCCTGATGCCGTACACATTTTTAATTAAATTCCAAATCGGCATTAATTAACGCTAAATAATAATAAGATCAGAACAGAATTTTATTTAAATCTCTCTATTTTATTTGTATAATGAAATTAGTTTTATTTATTATAATATAAAATTTCTGAAAGTACATTTCTTTTTTTCTCCTTGGAACGTCCCATCGTTTCCGGAGTCATAAATCAAATATTTAAGAGGTAATATGTTTCAATTGAAATGGTTAATACCATTAATTCAGCAAATTTTATTTATTTGAATGAGTGAATTATTTAATAATTGTATTGTTCTCTTATTTGTTAGTGAAGAGCGAAGAGCGTTAAATTTTTAAAAAAACATATATAAATATTATAAAATTACATTTTTAATTAACATTTATGAATTTTAAAAGACAAATTAATAGCTGTAAAATTAGCATCAAAAACTTTCTCAAAGTAATAAAAATATACAAAATATTTAGTTAAATGAATAGTTTTAATTCAGTAATAAAATGTACTTTACTACTTCATTATTTTAATAGTTTGTATTAAAAAAATCTTTTATTTCAATGTTTATAATATAATATATTTTAAAACATTAAAAAATAGAGTAAAAGGAAAACTGACTTATGTAAGTTTTAAAATATGTCGAAAATTATAAATGATAATTACAGGTTATAAACTGAATAAGTTGTATTTGTTTAAAATAGTTGATCCGAACATCAGAATTTATAAACAATTAACTTACCTATTACCTTTCCAAGAAACACTATGAAGTTTTAGGACCGACACGACACTTTAAAAAATTTTTAAATAATATGCAAATTACTAACTACTAAAACTATAAAAAAATTTTTTATCTACATGGAAATTTGACCTATGGAAATTTTAATTTATCACCATTATTTATTTATACATTTATGTAACTCTACATATTCAATCGAGTCATTCATTTATGTCGCAATACATCTGAATTTCTAATTTAGTCGATAGTACAATATAGATCTTTCAATTTATCTATATTTAAAAGCATTGTAATATTATATTTGACAGTATGCTTTTTAAATTTAATTTCTTTTTAAATTATTTAAAGCGAGATCCAAGTATAGAGGGGGGAAATATGTTGCTACACGAGTTAAAGCAATTAACAAAATATTTTATAATTTAATGGATCATAATAGAAAAATAAGCTTAATAAAAATAAAATGCTTCATGAAATATTTAAGTGGACTCGTGTCTAAATTTAGTATTTGTAATTTTTAATAAACGGTTTTAATATATACATTTATATGATAAGATTATGGCTAATCGGTATAGATGTTTAAAAAATAAAATTGCAACAGCTTTAGTCATTTGATAAAAACATTACATGACGCAAAATTTATAATTTTATCTATAGATATATTTTAGGAGCTAGATCTCGCAGAACTTGTTTGAATTCCAATTAAACATACGTCGTAAGGAAATTTTTCCTAATTTTGTTAGCTTCGCTTTGTTTCAAAAGTGAAATTTCCTTACAGAATGGTATTTATTATGCAAAAAAAAGAAAGAAAACTTTTGCGAATTTTTATCATCAGCGATAACTTTCTTTATATTGATATTATATTTATTTACTAATATTTCAAGTGTTGTAATTTATACGTAAAGTGTATACGGTGCATGATAAGTACACACAAAAATAGTTATCATTAATACTAAAATATTGGGCATAACTCAAAATTTAAATACGCTTATTCAATTTTAAATCTTCCTATTCGTTGGTACGATTTCGTTTCGATCTGCAAGTACAATACATTGACAATTTGTCGGATGGAAGACATTTAAAGCAAAGTTCATAAATGTGTTTCATCTTTTTTTATATTCTGGCTTATATCGCTAGCTTATATTTATATTTAACGGAGGAATTTTATCTTTATTTTTTAAGAAAAACTATATTTAGTTATTTCTAAAAAATAGCGTAATACTTGTTTAATCAATCAGAAAAGCGATTTTCGTGAATAGACTAATTTTGAAAAATAGAATATGCCATTGTGATAGCATCAGGCTTATTTTATTTTATTTTTTATAACAGCCATTTTTATTATGGTCAAAAAATAGTTATTATAATCTCGCAGATTCTCATTACGTCCGAGAAACTGCACGAATTCTTATAAATAAAATCTAAAGTATAAATTAATTTAAAACAATCAGAAATATCGGAACATTATATTATTATTTCTTAAATTTATTTAATTAAAATAAGTTTTGAAGAGATTTAAAAAGAAATGTCATTTAAAAAAAAAAAAATTTTCGTTATTACTAAAATGACGTCTTTAATCATCGACCGGTAGAGGGCATAGAAGTCAAGATGGCGTATTCGTAGGGTAGGCGTTATGTTTTTGGTTTCGTCGGAACTGACATTTTTCGAAAATGAACAACTACTTACCCGGGACCGCTAGTTTATTAGAAGAATTAGACAAAAAGTTAATGGTTTTGCTCCGAGATGGTCGAACTTTAATCGGTTACTTGAGGAGTATCGATCAATTTGCTAATTTGGTTCTACATCAGACGATCGAGAGGATCCACGTGGGAAACCAATTTGGAGATATTCCCAGAGGCGTGTTTGTTATTCGAGGAGAAAATGTGGTTCTTTTAGGAGAGATTGATTTAGATAAGGAACGATCCACCAATCTAGAACAAGTAACTGTGCATGAGATATTAGAGGCTCAAAGGATTGAACAGGAAGCCAAGCAGGAAAAGGAAAAACTAAAAGCCAGGGCATTCAAAGAAAGAGGAATTGTTCACCAGTTTGACTCTGCCCACGACGATTTTTAATTTGTTAATTATAATTTTCTTTACTACACAAAAAACATACAACTGAGTAATTCATTTTTTATGTTCAGTTATTGATATTTGCCATATCGTTTATATCAGACTTTTATTTCTGTATATCTTTATTTTTTTAATCTACAAATAACAAATTTGCATATTAATTTTTTTTTATAAATAACAAAGTGACAAATTGCTTATTTATTAAGTCCTGCAGACAGTGTGTGCAGTTTTTGCTGTGAAGTAACTCTATGGATTCCATTTAACTTGTATTGATTGAGGTTAATTTAATTTTAATGTGTGTAGTACAAGTTGTACAATATTCCAATGTAGATCAAAAAATAGATAAAAGATTTTCAAAAATAAACTCAAATTAAAAATTTTATATTTGTTTCAATTATTAATATGAGAGTGAAATTAATTTAGAATGGGTCGGCAATCTTTCGCAATTGTGCCGAACCTAAGTTATAGTGTTATTACGGGTGCCGACCTGACAGTACCAATTTTGTTATATATAGTATCAAAATTGGTTATAATGGACTTTGAAATCTAATAATTAAGATTTAATTTTTAGTAATTTCTGTTTGATCAGAGTGCCACGTTTGGCATGTGCCATAGGTTGCTGACCCGATTTAGAATATATTTTGTTTGTACACATTTTCAGTTTTCACATGCTATTCATATATGTAATGTGTTCATGTGTGTTTTTTTTTAGGTTGATTATTATTTCTCAGTTTTTGAAATTGTTTATTAAATTACAATACACACTGTTTTCACTGATTTTGAAATGTGTCCCTGGTTGGATTGTAAATGCTATGGTCAGCCTATTTTAGGATAATTTAATTTTTCCTGAATGCAGTTAGAATGAAAATATCATTTGTTTTACATGTTGCTTACTTAAGATGCTTAATAATTTTCATACATATTTAGACAACTGCTGTCTACAATATTTCAATCACATAATATATAATCTGTAAAACTACTCTAAATCTTTTTGTAACATTATACAAGATTATTCTTTCATGATGAACACAGGATATTTTTCTTCTAATTATAAATTAGAGGTTCAAACTATGTACGAAAAATTATTTAATTAATTTTTGAGTCTATCAATTAATCCTTTTCACGCACCATAGAAGTACACCTTTTACATTGGTTTGAAGACATCACTTCATTAAAAACAAATAACAATAGGTAAATTTTACATTATTAAAAATGTCTTCAAACCAATGTAAAAGGTGTACTTCTATGGCGTGTGAAAAGGATTAATTGATAGACTCAAAAATTAAATAATTTTTCGTACATAGTCTGAACCTCTAATTTATAATTAGAAGATTATTCTATTTTTCAAAATTAAAACAGATGGAATTTTATGAAAAATTAAATCGAACAGTTAATTGAATACCATTCTGTAATTTAAACCTTTTATAGCCTGAAAGATTCCCTTTTTAGATAAAAAAAAATTTCCGACAACTCTCAGGCCTGATGGGACTTCAAATTTTTTAACTATAAATTTAATTCTATAATATTTATAGTTTTAGAGCATATTGGGACTAGTAAACTCTGTTATTTTCTCAGCAGATGGAAGGAGGATATATATATAGATTTTTCTTACTGTTTTAATAGTATGTAAATGGCTGCCTGTTCATAAAAATTTTTACACATTACCTATTTATGAACAAAATATTCAACTAAAGATACTTTTATTCTGATTGGTGTTTTTTTGAATATAACTAATATATGTAAACTTAGAATGTGAAATATTCTTTCAATTGATTTAATGAATTTGCTAATGTTTTGTTTGTTCAGATTTAAACAATCTGTTGGGTCAAGATTGCCGACATAAATTTTTATATATGGATGTGTAAAAATAGCTTTGTTCAGAATATTAGCATAACCTATTGTCAATGTACACACTAGTTAATGTAAATGCATATATTGTGAGATATTAAAAAAATATTTTTTTTATTTTTAATTTCAAAAGAGGTGCAACTGAAAAATTAATCACTAGAAAAGTCTAAAGAAAAATAAGACTTAAGATCAGAGACATCATCAATTGCATACATATACAGTATCAAATGATATACAACATCAGAATTTAGTACAGTGGGCAAAATTTGAAAATCAAGACGATATTGTGAAGGGTGTTAAAAAAAACTGAACCACCCCTACATAGTAAATGCAAATATTTTGCGTTTCACAACATATCGATATAGCAAACAAAGCTTACGGAACCAGAAAGTCCCTTTTAATTATTTTTTAATGTAATTTATATTCAGAAATTTGTTTTTGTTTGCATACATTAACTTATGGATAAGTAATAAAAAATTATTGCAATTCATTTGAACTTAGGGTAATTAAGATGAATGGAAAGAGTTTGATAAATAAGATTTTGAGTATGGACAAAAGATAAAGAATACAGTATCCTCTTTTAGTGCCCATAGGATGGAAAAAACAAAAAAAAAAAGTACCATTAACATTTAAATTCTAAGAAAATTTAGCTTTTGTTTTGTACATAATGTTATTGAATATTCTAAATTTATTAAATCAAAATTTGTGCTTAAATTGCCCAAAATATCTTAAAGTGAATACAGAATGTTCTAAGAATTTACTATGTTACTATAATGAAATTGAAAACTTTTTTATAATGCTTTAATTTTTGATATATGTAAAATATTTGTATTTATATTAAATGTTAATAGGATTAAATATCAAAAGCATTATTTTTATACATATCAGAAACAGAAATTATTTTTGTCCAAAGATGGGATGAATAATTGAATCTTTATAACTTTAGAAAGTTTAATATCCTACAGTTTTTAAAAAATAAGCAAAGTTTTCTATATTGCCAATGATTATTATATGTACTTTTAAGTGTAATATTTTCAGTGATTTTGCTTTTATATTTTATTTTTATGCTTAAGGGATTATCTACATATATAATATCAAAAAATAGGCCATTTCTTACTCCTACCTCCCTTCCCTGTCAGCAAACATATTGTAAAAGCCCCCCTAATATTACATCAGAATCAGCACAACTCCCATTATTAATAAAACAGATATAATTAATTTGAAGTATGATCAAATTTCATATTGATACCAATATATTTTTTATACCATTTACAGTGCACATGTAAGATATCAAGTTCTAATAGTCTCAACCCACTCTCCTGTTATCCAATCATTCTGACTGTTTGTATGGCTAATTGACAATCTGTTGACATGTTCAGATCTTTAGGCAAAAGATACTTGTCAACCTGACACACCATATATCATATTTTAGGACCATAGGAAAGGGGAAAAATTAGCCCAACCCAAAGCAGGAAAGTGGCTGTCATGATTATGGTCATTGTCTCCTAGTTTATAAAGATTTTACTTTCAACAGTTATTTCAACTTTTCTAATTTCTAAATCTTCCTAGGTACAGATGTGAGTACTACTGGGAAGGGGAAGCAATACCTTAAGGATTTAATCTTTTCCATAGGGAAAAAAGTCTGGTTGGGAAGTGCAAAGTGCTGACGTCTACAAAAAAGTGCCAAAGTAAAATAATTTAAGATTTCATGATACATTGTAATGGCTGACAATAATACCAGCTCTCTTTATAGGTCTATGATTTTTTCCTTCTCTGTAGCATGAGCCTTTGACAGCTGTTTTCTGACATCTTTCATGTGGGGAAGTATAAATTCAGTACTTTTCTTACAATAGCCAGTTTTTGTGATATGTGAAGGCTATACTAGCTCATCTTTCCAATTACAAAAATTTTTAGTTGCAAAAGAATATTCCCAGTTTTCCATACTTAAATTTATGGCTTTTCCATGTGCAGCAACAGAAACTATAGAATACAATATACTTTTCAGAAACATAGTGTATTGCTTTCACTTGTTAAATCACACTGGCTGTAATGTTAATTTCACTATTGTTTTCCTTCAAAATGAACATTTTGGGAAGTGAAATTCATCAGAAGGCTGATGAGGTCCTTTATCTGTCACATATTTTGTTAATATTAATAACAACTTACTAAGTGCCATGTTTTCTTAGAATGAAGTGAAATTTGGCTTCTTAATAATTAATCATAAGAGTTTTGAATGTTAAAAAACTCTATATCAACTTTATCTTACAGCTCAGTGAGTTCCTGGTTTAACTTATCTTTCAATATTTTTCATTTTAACTTTTTCTGTTCTTTGGCAGTAAAAAGCCCTTTTTTCCATATATATTGTGGATTCAACCAGACCCATAATGGAGACAACAAGGTGATAAGAGATGGGGTTCCATCACCTGGCTGGGAGAAACCACACATGAAATTAACAATAAATCACTCATTCCTGATAGTTTTTGAAAATTAATAGCTAGTAGCATATATTTTTTTTTTAGCTGTTAATGAAGTATAATTAATGAATGCTAATATAATGCATACTGAACTAGATATTTAACATCGTTTTTAATAGGACAGTTTTGAGGAAAAACGATGATTTACTATAGTCATTATTATTTTCATTTTTTTTTTAAATTTACTTTTCATCTTTCTCTATTAATAGATATTTTCCTATACCAACATGATTTTATCAAATTTTAATTAGTAAATTTTGAAATATAAAAATCAATTATTCAATTACTATCAATCGTACTAAAAACTTTGGAGACATATTCTAAATGAGAGCTTAATTGTCTAAAAATTGCAAATTTCTCATGTTAGTATAGTTATATTGCATAGTATGTATTGTTGGATAGTTATTTTTCAGATATAAATGACCTTTGAATTAGATACCGTTATAAAGAATTTAATACAGTACAATTGTTTTGCTCGAATTATATTTTAAATTTTCAGTGAAGCATACTTTTCAAAAAATTAATTATTAAGTAATTATAATAGTGTAAAAGAGCTATTCTGTAACATCCATTTTGTTATAATGTGTTAATCTTAGATGATTCTTTGTTCTGAAACATGAAAACTAAACATAACTTATACATGAACTATTTTTATAGATAAAATAGCAAACATAAGAAAAGCAACCTTTCATGTCCTGGTTCATCAATTTTGAATCTGGTCACTCTATTGAATTCCTATTTTGTATATTAGGATAATTATCTTAATATAAATACAATTATATTATATTTTACAAATTACACTCACAATTGTGAATTGTATTTACAAATACAATTGTCTTGAATAGAAAAATTAGTTTCATACTACAGAGCATCTTTTCTTTAATAATTTAAGTTTATAATTTTTTATATTATTTATCTACTTTTAGTTATTACCATAGTTTAAAATTTGATACATAATAAAAATTGTGTTAAAATAAGACATAGTATTGTATTAGATGCATCACATTTATAGTGTTGATTGTTTGGGGAAAAAATATTCTTTACCGTATAAGATATATTTTGTTTACAGGAAACATCCTAATTGCCAGATAAATTTTAGGTATTAACAAATGCATCTTATAAGGCAAAAGAAAAATATGGTATCTATTTACAGTATTTTAAATTTTGTCACAAAAACTAGAAAATTATTTACAATGTCAGATATGTAAACTTTTATATTTATGATTTTAATAATTATAATTTCTCTTAAAATTACATATTTTTAAAATTGTTTATATTTAAAATTTTAGGGGAAAGACAAGAGTTTGGAAACCAGCTGTGGTACCGATAGGAGATATCCCAGCTCCGAGTCCTCAGATAACAGCTAAACCTGTAACAAAAACATCACTTGCAGCTAACAAACAGGTTTGATAAAATTTTTCAACTTCTATAGTTAAGTAAAAATAACTTCAACAGTATCATCTTTTCAGGAGGTTCAGCATATTGGAAGTAAACATAATGTTAGTGCAAGACCATTTTCAGCAACAATGCAAGATGGAACAGTTAAAGCTGTTGTTCATAAACAATATAATTCACCAGCAAATATTTACTCAATGGATAATATTGCTGAAACTCTTTCTGCCCAGACTGAAGTACTTGCAAGTGGTGCTAAAGGGTATATACCATCATTAATTATTTATTATTAATTAAAAGATTAACAACCTTTTTTAAAATATAACTTAATAATATAGATAAATACTATAAATTTATAATTAATATTCATAGCATCAACTTCTTAAAAGAAGAACAGCCTATCAATAAAGAATCAGCTGTGTATAGAATGGTACATGAAGACACTGGTAAAGGTAAAAGTACATTTAATAAACATATTTACTACAGATTAGTAGAACTTACGTGATAGGTGGGACCAAACAATAACCACGTAAGTCGGGGTATAATTTCGCAATTTGTGTAAAATTTAAGTCGGATGTATGTAAGTTAATAAATGTTCTCGTTAATCTTATTTCATCTTTTGATTCGTTCACGGTTACAAGAAATCACCACATAGAGTCTCTCAAGTCTCCGTAGATATAACAAACACAGAAATAAATAACACAAAATAAATTGTAGGTATGTGTCGATTCCGCACGACACATCCGAACATGTAAGCTGAACAATAGTGTGGGGGGGAGTGAGTAATCAAGAGTTACGTGGCGCTCAAACAGAAGACGAATCGACGAGATTTGAAAATTGCGTAACTCCGGGTTCCCGTAAGTCGGGGTAGCATAAGTCGAGGTATTACTGTACTTTGAATATAGCAAAAATAATCAATACTCTTGCATCTATTTCTTTTTTAATAAATTTTAATTAAAAACCAATCTTTTTAGAACTTTATATCATTGTTTAGGGTGTAAGCCTATAGATTTAAGACAATTTTTTATTAAAAATTTTGTTGCTTCTGATTTTAAATGATCAATTAATTTAATAAGAGGTCCTAAGCAAAAGTATAACCTCATTAAACAATGTGTATCTGTTTTGCTGATTGGATGGAGAAAGAAAAGTCATAACATGTACAGTACATGCAAAGCAATTAGATGCAAATTCATTATGGTACATTTAATCATTTTTTAGTTAATTGTAATTCATACGTTCAAAAGTTGTTCTTACTATAACTATTTTCTTCTCCCAATCAATCAGCAAAATGAACACACATTGTAAGAGGTCCAATCCATAAAATATCAGAACTAAAAAAACTTCAATAGGCAAGTTGTCATCTTAGGCATATTAATTTAAACAAGAAAAAAAAAATGTTTTATATACATGATGTACAGTACTAGGGCACCAAGATTTTGATAATTTTATTACTGAAAAAAAAAAATTCTCAGGGTTTATTCTAAACAAAGAAAGTATATAAACACTATCAAATTTCATAATTGACTAATTTTTAGTATAATAAATTGCTTTCTAATGAATACATACTTTGTTGTTTAGAATCTCCTACATGTGAGCGTGCTTTCCCATTAAGACATGTAGAAGCTCCAGTTACTAAACCTCCATCAGAAAAACCACCTGAACAGCTAAATCCTAATCAATGTGTAGAATGTGGAAAAGTCATTATGTGAGTATTATAAAGTAAAAGAAATAAATGTATTAATTTATTATTAGTCATATTTTGATATTTATCAAAAACATCTCTCTTCATTCCGACATTAGACTTCAAATTTAAATGATTATAAATGTTTAATATACTGAAAATACATATTTTAGAGGTGTATTCGTCCGTATTAAGGATAAACCATTACATCCTGAATGTTTTCGCTGCAGTACTTGTGGAACATCTCTTAAAAATATTGGTATGAATTGCAATAATTATATATATTTAATTATTTATTTATTTACATATATATCATATATATATATATAAATTAAATTTATATTTTCAGGATACTATAATGTTAATGACAAATTATACTGTGATATACATGCAAAGCAAGCATCTAAAATGTTGCATTTTACAATACCAGATTTTGAACCAATAACAATGGGCCAGTTAGTTTATTTTGTTAATAAATCTTAATATAATTTGAAAATTTTGATTATCTCAGTGAATTATTAATTTTCCATAACATTTTATAGAATGAACTCAACTTCAGCACCTGAAACAGTTCCTGGAACAGCTCCTACAACACCTGGTACTGCTGCTCCCATGTCACCATCTACAACTTTTAATACACCATTTTCAGTTAGTTTTTTTTAATTTTTATTTATTTATCAGTTTAATTTATTATGCAATGTATCCAAAATTAGTAACCAAATTAAATTAAATATACTTATAGATTTTTTTTGAAGTAAATATTTAACTTCTGCTTGAATTAGTTAATTATTTTTCATAATTTTAATTTAAACTTTATTTTCCATTAAAAAACAAACAAATCAGAAATGGTTACATGATCTATAAGCTGATGACTAGATGACCAATACAATAAAGACACCAGCAGTATTCTAAGAAAGTTTGGATCTATATTGGTTAAAATTTTCATGGGTTGGTTACCCTATATGTTACACTTCCTATCCCTTAACATGTGAGACTGACCAAAGCCATGATCAATATTGAAAAAAGTCCTCTTAATGTCTTCACAGCAGAAAAATTAAAAGAACCATGTGTCAATATAACAAACATTAGAAGGAAGCCTTTTAAAAAAGGTTTATATATAAATTATTATTATTTTTTATTTAGTTAGTTCAACCCAAACCACCATCTTTCAAACCAATATCTAATGCAGTACCAAAGGTTGCTTCTCCTACACAAATGAAACCAGCTAGTCCACCTGTACTAGCTCCTACAATGAAGCCAGTTACTCCACCTGTACTAGCTCCTACAATGAAGCCAGTTACTCCACCAATAACTCATCCACAGACTGCGCCTCTAGCTGATGCACATAAACCATTATCAAGTAAGTATAAGTTCATATTCTCCATTGAAAAATAAATTTATATTTTTATTTATAATATAAATTAAAAAAAAATCGCTCAGTACTCGACTGAACAAATTCAATTATATATTACATTTATCTTTCTCAGATCAATTAAATGCATTAATGGCATCAACTTTGGTTTTGGGAATGTTTAGTTTTAAATATATACTTATCATTTTATTCTCAAAAAGTTTAACACAATTACATAAATATCTTATTTTAACAGTGATGTCGGACAGGAAATCTTTTTTGTGAACCTATCCTGATTTCAGTGTGTTTGGTAGTTGTGTGATAGTCTAACTAATTGAAATAGATCAAAATTATTTAAATAAATTAGTCATTTTAATTATGTAAGGTTTTCTGTCCTTTACTTAATATATCTACTTTATGTAACTGTCAATTTGTAAAATTCTTATTTTTGTGTTAGTAATTCAGAAATGATTTCCTGAATTATTAATCTTTTACCTTACTGTTTTCATAGACTATATCTGTAAACTATTTCATATCTCTCGACTTTCTCTTTTTTTTCGTTGTTTTCAGGCGGTTCCAAGTTTATTTGGCCGCCTCCAAAACAGACTCCTGTAGAGACTCTTGAATCCAATGCTACTCCTTCTGTTCCTAGTTATCGACCTCCTCCTGGAACTCAACATATTTCTAATACTCCAACTACTCCTAAAACTCCTACTACACCTAAATTTATTCAGTCTACTACAACTAAAATCCCTACCACTCCTAAATTTATTCAATCTGCTCCTAAAACACCACCTGCTGTTGCTCCTAAACCCCATATCCCTGTCCAAAGCATCACAACAACCAGCATTCAATCTTGGACTTCTAGTTCCACTTCTGGACCCTCCCCAATAGGCATTACATCTGGAATTGGATCCCATCCTGCTCCAAGACGTGGTCGTGGACAATTAAGATCTCAAGTTGGTCCAGGTGTTCGAATTCCAATTTGTGCTGTATGCGGTTCTCCAATCAGGTTAGAATGAACATAAAATTATTTAGTAATGTTAATACTATAAATAAAACACTTGTTAAAATGTAAATTCAAATTAATAAATAGTATCTATTCATTAAAATAATTATTTTGTTTTACAAGCAACTGATGCAAGGTAAATGTTATTAAATGAGAAGTTTTAGATAAAATAAACAATTTTTATATATCAAATAATAATAATATTTAAATAAAACAATAATAATAAAACTTGTTAATATTTCAGAGGACCATTTATTGTTGCTATTGGAAAGACTTGGTGTCCTGATCATTTCTTATGTAGTAATAATAAATGCCGTCGTTCATTACAAGACACTGGATTTGTTGAAGAGCAGCAGCAGTTGTATTGTGAACACTGCTATGAAGCATACTTTGCTCCAATGTGTAGTAAATGTGGTGCTCGTATCAAAGGAGTAAGAATACTTTTTAATTCTTTATTCTTATTGTTTTGGCTGTAATCTAAAATTTTTGAATATTTTAGGACTGTCTTAAAGCTCTTGACAAGCATTGGCATCCTCAATGTTTTGTCTGTGCAAACTGTCATAAACCTTTTGGTAACAGTTCTTTTTACATGGAAGATGGTCAACCATACTGCGAAAAAGGTAAATAGTTAGATAGATATTTGATAGTTGCTCTATAAAAACAAATATATAATTTTTATTTAATAAAAATTGTTTTTTAGATTGGAATGAATTATTCACTACTAAATGCATTGGTTGTGGTTTTCCAATTGAAGCTGGAGATCGTTGGGTGGAAGCTTTAGATAATAATTATCATTCTCAATGTTTCAAATGCACAGTAAGCATTATTTGTCTAAAAGTTTTAATTGGAAAATTTTCTGAGATTCTTAAATGTTCTTACTTTTGCAGATCTGTCATAAAAACTTAGAAGGACAGGGATTTTATGCTAGAGGAGGTCGACCTTTCTGCAAAGCTCACGCTCGATAAATTTACTTTTGAATCAGATTGAAGCTTAAAGAAATTTTAGGAGATTTGCTGCTAAATAGTATTACATCTACCAGCAATCAGTTATATTTTACTACTGCTATCTGTCCTTATTAATGCTGCTCATTGTTTGATTTGAGCCTCTTAACATGTTTAGTTATTGATCATCATGAACTGGCGACCAGCAATGCGACTGTGAGAAAATTGCATTTAAAACAATAATGAAATTATCCACTGTAGAAGAACTTACAATTTTTACATTTAATATAGTTCCTATCTTTTAAATCAAGACAATGGCTAGTCACATTCAATAGTGTAATTATGACTTGAGATTCTTTTGCCAAATTTAAACATTGTATTTCTTAAAGAGGAAAAAAAGCAGACCAAATATTATAAACAAACATCTATAAGAAGTTTTAAATAAAATATCACTTTAAAAGTTTTGCTATTCAGTTTAATGTTTTAATGATGATGTTGGTTTCCCATACTATAATTAATAATTTAAAAAATGTAGTTTACAAATAGTTTCATAAATTCTCTATAATCTGCACCACTCTATTAATTGCATTTCTCTAATATAGTTCCTAATCTAGCAGAAGATTATTAATGTCAAAACATAAGTAGTAAATTATAAAGAATAAATACAGAGTGATATATAATTCCATCAACCTAAAATTCATGCCTAACTAAATAGCAATGCAAACGAATTAATTTTATGGCTGTAAAAAAACTCAAAAGCCTGGAAAGAGCTTTTCTTGAGTGCTTTCCAGACTTCTGAGAAAAATAAATACATCAAACTTACTTAGGAAATGCAATTATATAATTTCTTGTTTTAAAAAATTAGGCATAAATGAAAAATATTAATATAATTTAACATATCTTGCATATTGAAGAATGATTTTTTTTACATTATCTCATAATAAGTGAAATATATAATACAGTATTTTTCCCTTTTTCCTAATTTACAAGAATGCATACATAATAAAACAAATATAATGAGAATTTAAAGTCAATTATATATTTTGATCTTAAGAAATACTTCATAGAATATCACATACAGTAGTACCTCGACTTACGCAAACCCGGAGTTACGCGATTTTCAAATCTCGTCGATTCGTCTTTTGTTTGAGCGCTACGCAACTCTTGATTACTCACCCCCACACTATTGTTCAGCTTACATGTTCGGACGTGTTGCACGGAATCGACACATAAATAACACAAAATAAATTGTAGCTATTTCTGTGTTTGCTATATCTACAGAGACTTGAGAGACTATGTGGTCATTTCTTGCAACCGTGAATAAATCAAAAGACGAGATAAGATTAACGAGAACATTTATTAGCTTACATACATCAGACTTGGATTTTACAGAAATTGCGAAATTATACCCGACTTATGCGAATTCGACTTACGCGGTTATCGCTCGGTCGCACCTATGGCGTAAGTTCGGGGTATTACCGTATATGATTATTATATTAATTATATTAATGTTTAACAAATATTTAACACAAACTTTACTGCAGAAATTTTTCTCAATAGTCATAAAATTATCAATGAAAAAATTTAAACTATTTTTCATTGTTGACTTTATTTTAAAAATTTTCCAATTTCAAATTCATGAATAAAAATTTGACTAAAAGATAAATGATATAAATGAACATTATTCTCATGTTTTACATAATAAGTACTGTGTAAGAAAATTAAATAACCAAACTAAGATATATGTAAAAGCATTATTTATTTAAACATTTAAAAATTAGCAATCATTTTCTTTGTCTTCATAAAAACTAAAAATTTAAAAACTAGTATTTTATTTTTATAATTTTGTTATAATAGCTTTTCATTGTTTAATAAAATCTATTGTGCAACTTAATAACATAAAAGTTATTGTATATCATAATTTAAATAGATTAAACCTTTAAACTATTTAGTAAAACTCTTTTTTAACTTTAAGCTTATCAACATAATTTGCTATTGTGATTCAGGAAGTTAACTACAATGAAAGCAATAATGATGATGATATAAAATATATGATAAAAATTTTCTAAATACAGCATTTAGAAAAAAATGGAGACTGATTCATACTCTTATTAATTAATAAAAATGTACAATTGAAATTATCAGCAGAATTTATATATTTTACTGTATATAATCATAAACTGAATCAAAAATATTGTTTTTTTGCTTTTTGCCCTTAATGTCTAACGTTATACTTGTGGAATATTAACTTAATACAGTTATTTTATGTTAGGGCTTATCACACCAGTGAACATAAACACAAAATTTCTTAAATTAAATATATATTTAAGTTTTCAAAAAGTGATTTTACAATAATTAAAATCAATATGTGCGCTGCTCATTTGCCAAATCGATTAATTCCATAAAATAAAAAGTGGAGAAAAGTGACAAATATACATTTTTTTTTAAAAATTTCTTTTAAAATATAAATTCAAATAAAGATTGTAGAATGTATTATTGTATATGTAGCTTTTATTTAATGACATAAAATGTATAAAATAGCATATATATGCTATAATCCTCATTATTATTATGATTTTGGTGTGATTGAGGGAGTTAATCGATTTGGTAAGTGAAAAATGTAGTAACATCAAATTCAGTTTTCACATGGTTTTTTATTATAGAAAAACTTCATTATCATACATTTTTTATTAAAGATTTTTTGCAAAAATGAATAATAATTGTTCTGTTACTGTTACAATGGTGCTATTATTATTTTGTTTAAATCAGTGTTTTTCAACCTTCTTGAATATGCGACCCCTTTACAAGTTAAAAAATTTTGGCGACCCCACGGCTATATTAAAACTATGTCAGTGATTTTAAAAACTACGTATTTAATTTTCTTTCTGTTGAGATTTAAATATCGATCAAAAAGCTAATTGTACTGTAAAATAAACAGCACAGACTTCTCACTGAAATTGTAGTTTTTTTTTATTGTAGTGTAGGACCTACAAACACTTGTCTTTTTCTTTTACCCACGACCCCCGTGTATGGCTTTGCGACCCACAGGTTGAAAAACACTGGTTTAAATTGATTATTCAGCAACATAAATGATGTCTTCTTTGTCAACTGTATTTGATGTCCCATTATGTTGATTTGTTCTTAAATTTTTATAAGAATCATATATCTCACGTTTAATAGGAGCAGGGCTGTGGAGTCGCGTAAAAATCTACCGACTCCAACTCTGATTTTTCCTTACCATCCGACTCCTACTCAGGGCAGACTTGTTACCAAAAGAGACCCGAAAATTCTGATGTCATCACATGACCTCAGAATAAAAGGTTCAATAAATAGAGTTTTAATAAAGATAGAACATAGAAACTTTTTATTCCAAAGCTAAAAGACTCCTCTAAGTAATGACACAGTCAATATATAAATATGTATTCGATAATTTTTACTTTTCCGGCTGTTATATATAACAGAGGAAAAGTGTAACACTCGATCAAAAAATGACCCCTCNAAGATTGTAGAATGTATTATTGTATATGTAGCTTTTATTTAATGACATAAAATGTATAAAATAGCATATATATGCTATAATCCTCATTATTATTATGATTTTGGTGTGATTGAGGGAGTTAATCGATTTGGTAAGTGAAAAATGTAGTAACATCAAATTCAGTTTTCACATGGTTTTTTATTATAGAAAAACTTCATTATCATACATTTTTTATTAAAGATTTTTTGCAAAAATGAATAATAATTGTTCTGTTACTGTTACAATGGTGCTATTATTATTTTGTTTAAATCAGTGTTTTTCAACCTTCTTGAATATGCGACCCCTTTACAAGTTAAAAAATTTTGGCGACCCCACGGCTATATTAAAACTATGTCAGTGATTTTAAAAACTACGTATTTAATTTTCTTTCTGTTGAGATTTAAATATCGATCAAAAAGCTAATTGTACTGTAAAATAAACAGCACAGACTTCTCACTGAAATTGTAGTTTTTTTTTATTGTAGTGTAGGACCTACAAACACTTGTCTTTTTCTTTTACCCACGACCCCCGTGTATGGCTTTGCGACCCACAGGTTGAAAAACACTGGTTTAAATTGATTATTCAGCAACATAAATGATGTCTTCTTTGTCAACTGTATTTGATGTCCCATTATGTTGATTTGTTCTTAAATTTTTATAAGAATCATATATCTCACGTTTAATAGGAGCAGGGCTGTGGAGTCGCGTAAAAATCTACCGACTCCAACTCTGATTTTTCCTTACCATCCGACTCCTACTCAGGGCAGACTTGTTACCAAAAGAGACCCGAAAATTCTGATGTCATCACATGACCTCAGAATAAAAGGTTCAATAAATAGAGTTTTAATAAAGATAGAACATAGAAACTTTTTATTCCAAAGCTAAAAGACTCCTCTAAGTAATGACACAGTCAATATATAAATATGTATTCGATAATTTTTACTTTTCCGGCTGTTATATATAACAGAGGAAAAGTGTAACACTCGATCAAAAAATGACCCCTCCCAAATTTTTACATTTTTGGAGTCGAGACACCTTGAAATTTCGAGATATGCAAAAGATTCGAGGTTTTTTCTATATGTGTGGATGTTAGACTGTGTGTGGGGGCATGATTTTGTTCACTCTGTTTAAAGCCTAATAATTTCTGTGGTCAGAAAGATTTGCAAAAGAAACACGGAGAGTCAAATTTGACGTGATTTCAATACTTTTCCATTGTATATACATAACAAGTTGGGAATTAAAAAGGAGTCGAAGTTGGTGGATTTTTTGACGACTCCGACTCTGGCTAAAACACTAAAACTCCACGACTCCGACTCCATAGCCCTGAATAGGAGAAATGAAAAAATTATTTTTAGTTTCATCCATTTTGATATAATGGCATAGCTTTTTTCTTCTAAAAACAATTATCACCAAAATTAAAACAATTGTTCAATATTCCACAAGTATACTTACTTCTGTGGAAGTTGGACTGTAACTAACTAATTTTTTTTTTTTTTTTTTTTTTTACTTTTTGTGATGAGATAACATTAAGTAATTTACCATTATCTACATGGCATTGGTCAGCGCACACTGCAATTGCAATGCTGCAGTGTGCACTGGTGGATTTACTACAGTATGGAGTTAATTAGATATTGGTTTCTGAAATAAAATTTTTTTCGACAGCCAATAAAATTTTGTCATTAAGTGGTATTAATCATTATTATTAGGGAAACTACAATGAATATAAAAAGTAATGAGTATATCAAGTGCTTTTTTACTAAAATTTAAAAAAATTCAAAATGTGGAGTTAATTGATTTGGCTTGTGAATGGCTAATATATAAATTTATAAAATACATCCAAAATGCATTTTAGACTTTAAAATAGTCCTTCAGTTGGTGCTTAAAAAAAATCGCAAGATAAAATATATAAAGTTATATTAAAAGGCTGAAAGAACGATGAAGACATCACAACTAATAAATTGGCATTATCTCATTGATGCTATACAATAATTTCAATCTTTTTCACATTTCACAACCAAGCCAGCCATGAAGAGTTAGTTGATGTCTCTGAAGGATTGACTGAAACATTACACAAATTAAAAAGAAGAATAGCAATCTCAGTACAACCATTTGCATATTTATACAACCTAGATAATGCCAATTTATTAGTTGTGATGTCTTCATTGTTCTTTCAGCCTTTCAATATAACTTTTATATATTTTATTTTGTGATTTTTTTGAAAAATCAACTGAAGAGGGACTATTTTGAAGTCTAAAATGCATTTGAGTGTATTTTATATAATATATACATATTGGTTTTAATTATTGTAAAATCTTTTTTAAAACATAAATATATGTTAAATTTAAGAAATTTTGTGTTCATGTTCACTGGTGTGGTAAGCCCTAACATAAAGTAACTGTATTAAGTTAGTAGAAATGTTGGATCAAAAATAGTTATGAAACTGACTTTGAAATTGGACATTCCTTGAGATCAAATTTAGTCTTGAAGAAGACTAAATTTGTTTGTCTAGAAATAAGTATTTCTAAACTGGTGGTTATTAATTGGTAAATTAATGCTATTTCTTTCTTTACATTTTATGTGAGTACAGACACAAAAGTAGCATAAATTTTTAAATTTCAAAATATGCATGTAAGATTCAAATGTAGATTGGTTTTGAGTTTTACAGTTAAACACACAATTTTATATTCATAAAGTTTTTATTCACAATACAGGATACCCTTGTACAACATAGTACTTCTACAACATGGTTTCGCTCTAGCAGTTTGAAAATTGGGGATATCCCCCATACAACATGGCTTCCAGTTTTGTTCTAATAAGTTCAAAGCAAGCATGTTGTCTCAAACTTGCCCATGGATTTTAGAATATTAAAATTTTCAAATTATTTTGTGTTTTTCATCAGGTTTACTTTAATCAAAACCAATAGCAGAAGGAAGAAAAAATTGCAATAACTTTCCTACCAATCAGATGTTGTCGTTGCTTTCGTACTTTACCCATTAAGACTGTCACTGTGTTTTCTTTTTATAGATTAATCTTTGTATTTAGTAAAGTTTACTTAAACATTTTTAGGTAAGTGTTGTCAAAAATTTTTTTTAACCGTATGTATTACTTACCTACAAATGGTTACTTCATTCATAAAAATGACAAACAAAATACAGCAGTATCTCAATACTCAAACAATTCAGTATTCAAATGCAAATTTTGGAAAAAAAAATCGCTCAGTACTCGACTGAACAAATGCAATCCACTAGAACAAAATTTCAATTAATAACATATTTCTATTTTGTCATCTATAAAAATGTTTTATTATAAAAATAAAAAAAATATGAAAATGTTGCCAATACCTCTGATCAAGATCAATAAAAAAGATGAGATTGATGACAATTTGTAAAAAGAAAATGCCCTTGTTTAATTAAAATTAATGTTAATATGTAATACAGTACTTTTAATTGTGATTGTTAATTAATTTTTAATTGGAAATAAATTATCGATTGCTTTAATAAACATATTTCTCTTAGTAACAAAAAGAGTAATATACTTGTGTTAACTTCTGGAACATAACCCTATGTTTTGCTTTAGTCCTTTGTTTTGTATAACATGGATTTGCATAACATGGAACTTTTTTGAAACATAATTATCATGTTACATGAGGGATACCTGTACATGCATATATAGTAAAAACTAGCCCCTAACTGCCTTTAGTAGTCCACACCCAACATTGTGCTTTGTGATACTCTCATAATTGTGTTGCAATTTATGATAATTTTTTAACATTATTAGTTGTGTATATATATATTTATATTTATATTAATTAAATAATTATAAATAATATTTTAAAGATCTATTAAAGAGTAATCAATGGTAAGACAAAATGATAATGCAATTATTTAAAATAATAAAAACAAATTAAAAATATGCAAATGGCACTTAAGTTAATCATTCAGTGGACATTGATATAGTGTATGAGATGTTGAAGGTTCAACTAGACATCTAATAAGGCCTAATATATATGACCTTTTTGAGATTTCAGATTTTTCTGGTAATATACTCAATACCTCCTTTTGAATTCATTATTTATTTCTCTGGAAGAAGTCTAGTTCAAACATTTCATGTCAGTGAGTAAATGAGTAAGTCAGTCAGTCAGTCAGTGCTTTATTATATAGATATTTATAAATATACTTTCTTTTGTACGTAGCTTTATTATATAGATATTTATAAATATACTTTCTTCATTTTACCAAAATGATCAATTTCTAAGAGTTAAAATTCTTTCGCACAGTTTCTTAGAAATTGATCATAATATACAATTATATCTATCTTATAATTGTTTATTATTTAAATTTATGTAACAGATAAAATCTCAGAATAACTGGATAATGAATATTTGTCATAATAAATTTATATAAAGAATGTAAATAATTAATTCTTAATAATATATCATTAATAAAATTTCATAAAAATATATATCAATCATTGTCAAGTTTTATTTTAATAAAAGAAATAGTGAAATTTTAATTTAGAACAAAATCAAATCTTGACTTACTATTAAATATTTTATTCTATTTATTTTACTTACAACTTCTATTAATAATACATTAATTTTTAGGTATAGGATAAGCTTTCAGAAGATTACTAATTTGTTTTGCTGTCATATCTTTTAATTTTTGTCCTGGAACAAGTTTGCCTTCCACTTGTTGCTTCTTCCTTTTATCAACAGAAGCCTAAAAATTTATATGTAATTATTTTAATAATATTTTAAATTTTCAATTTTATTATTAATAAAAGTAATAGAACTAAACAACTGCTGGATTACATTGTGCTACTTTTCTGTGATTATATTTAATTAATTACTAAGTAATTTGTCACCAGAGAAAGGCATTAGGCACCATCTCTTATTAAATATAGTAATTATAATTAAATTAATATTTATTAAATAATTTAGAATATTATGGAAGAAAAGAATCAGCCCGGAGTGGGACCCAAACCCACAACTCCCACTTACTGTGCAGATGCGTTGCCAGTTACGCCACCCGAGCCTCCAGTCTGTTCTCTTCCAGACATATTTAAATATAATATAACCATCCTTGGTTACTTATGGTGCCAACTGGGGATGACTTCAGCACCCTCATCCTATAAATTCCTACTCATGGCACTCAGCCAGCCATTGCTCAACCCCGGGATGGTATATACATACATAAACATATGTACCAAATATAGTATAATATATTATAATACCAAACAAATATAATACTTATTAAATATTAATTTACTTATAATAATTAAATTTAATAAGAGATGGCACCTAACACCTACATCTAGTACTAAATTATTTAGAATTTAATTTAAAATAACAGTGATAAAGTATCTCATAGTCATTTGGTATACTGTATTACTAAAATATTGGGCTTCTGCATATTGTAACATTTTAAATCACATTTGCACAGTCCAGACATATAGCTTCAGCATGTTAAGAATTAATAAGTGTTTTCAGTATATTTAGAATATAAATTTCTAATATATTATTCATTTCTATAATAATGAAGTATATGTATAATATAATGTTTAAAAAGTTTAGAGGTAATATTTGTGTATACAGTAGACCCCCCTATAACGCTTAGATACGTTCCACGCTAATCGAATTTTATGTTATAGGAATGATTAAATACATGATCCAATCGCAGCCCGATAGGTGGGAACTTTACGGACTAAGGCTGTTTGAAAGGTTTTCTTCTATAAAATTAACCGATTCTAGACTAATTCCACTCAACATTTCCAAAACACGTATAATTTTTTGGGAGTAATCCGTATAAACTATGCTATAAACAAAAAATTATAGGATTACTTACCGAGTGTGTACCGTTCGACTACGCCGTTGCTTAAAGCTGGTTTTCATCGCGGAACAGCACATGAAACGGCGGCCGCGATTTCTAATAACGAATTTTTCGCATAAAAATAACTTGACCTTTGGAGACATCATTAATATAAATAATTTTTATGGCCGTTGAATAAGAAGTGTTTCTTTCACAAGAAATGTATAAAATTAGTGCTGTATTAGACTTACGGTACCTAATTTACATACTGTACAGACGATAATAAACTCAACTTACTAGCCTAAAATCTCCGTAGCGTGTTGCCAGGCGGCAGAAAGCATATATATAATTATAATAAAGTTACAATAAATTAAGTTAATATATAATTATATATACAGTACCTAATTTATATATAATTAATATATAATTATATGTACAGTACCTAATTTATATATAATTTATATATAATACTAAACAGACGATAGCAAACTCAATTTAGCCGCTCCGTAGCGTGGCGCAGGGTCGGAGGAAAGTAGTTCGGCTGCTCATCCACTATTGGTCCAGACTCTATCAATCTTGTCGTGAAACGACGTTATAGGAGGTACTTTATACGAAAGGTTCTACAATTTTTTCGCTACGTTATAGGAATTGTCGTTATAGGAACGTACGTTATAGGGGGGTCGACTGTATTTAATATGTATAAATTATCACTACAGTGTTTATTTTTATTTTTAAAAAATTAAATAGCTGAGGCAGTGTCAAATGTTACATATTGTATTTTACTTAAAATGTGAAAATTCAGATAATCATTTCATTTCAATTCCTGAAGATCAAGTCTGCCTGTCCAAAATATTATGGATAATATATTTGTTTTAATTGCAATTACTCTTAAGTAATTTGGATAATTTTTCTTTATAAAAATTAATTATATTTTTCTAGAGAATTATTTTACCCAAAAGATAAATAATTCTGAGAACTAATAATTAATTATAATTAATCAAACATAATACTTACAAGATGATTCAAATAACAATTCTGTAAAGAATCTATTTCTTTTTTGCAAAATGTTTCGTTGAATTCACCTCTCTCAAAACAGGATAATAATGATAAAACTTCATTAAGACATGCAACATCTAGAAAAATAAAATATACAAATTAAAAATTTAATAATTTAGATAATCTACTCAAACATTATCTTTACACAAATTTTTGTAAAAGCAAAAAGTTTTTATGTTTTAATTTATTTTAATTATATTTTGCTGATATTATAATATAAGGTCTGGTTAGGTAATTGCACCTTTCTGTAATATCTCATAAGCCAATCAAAATTAAACTGATACCAATAAATAGATTTTCAGCTCAATCTTAAGTACAGCTATTGATATTACTTCAGCTTTCCTTCATTGTTTGCTATTACTTCTCAAAAGAAACTAGCTTTATATTAATAAAATATATTCCAAGTTATAAAAGAATAATTGTTTAATGAACTAACAATGAAAATCCTTAAGTAAATCAATTTACTATCAAATATGTTAGATCTGGATTTTTCATTCAAAGCTGTAATAGGAGAGGACAAGCCAAGTAATAGAACCTACTTCACGTTACAGTATATATTTAAATAAGAAGCAATTTCTATGGAAAACTGATATATTCAAATTAAAAATTTGTTTTTCATGTAATTTCCAAAGTGAGTAATAGGATTCTAAGTTTACAATAACTGGAGATGCTCAGTTATTGTAAACTTAGAATTTCTGCTCTGAGACACTAAGGGGATCTCTTTAGCAAGCCCATTATGGATTTGGTCAGGCCTACAATGGGGCAGCTGGATGGTGAGGGATGGAGCCCGACATATCTGGATGGACCACAACCTGAAAAATTCCTGGGGCTTTTGACCAGTCTGGATTCAATCCCAGGTCCCCAGAGCAGTAAGCTGCCACCTTGACCACTTGGTTATACAGCCGTCTGCTCAGGATTGTTGACAAAAAGGACCACGGTCCAAGATATAATCCTTTACAAGATAATCACTCTCTACTGATATTATATATATAAATATTAACAGATAATTGAATACTGCTCATACTGGATAGAAAACTTTAATACAAGAAGAAGCAGGAAAGATTGCAGATGTGAATGACTGTTGGAACATTAATAAAGCTGTAGACCAAACACCAGGAGCAAGAAGTCAAAGAACCATACTTCTACATCTGACCCTTCACAAGATATAGCCCTCCAAAAATCAGCCTACCTCTGGGTGCAATTGGGAGTTACATGGTTGCTAAGCCCAATTAATGTTTAGCAGACAGCCCAGCATGATGGTCAGACATTCTAACAATATCTATTGATAAAGAATAAAAAAAAAAGTCAGATATGTGACCCTTCAGAAGATATTTGCCTCCAAATGAAAAAATTCCAACAGCAGCAGTTCAGGTTGCCATCTTGCTTGAGGACATCACAATTGCAAGGAAGCTGTATTATGCGAACGATGAACAGTGTCTTCTACTGACCAAAACAGTTTTGACCTCAAACCAGTACTACTATCTATTCTCCATGCTCTGCATCCGTCAAGGCTTGCCGCGACACTCTGCATATAAGCATGCACTTTTGCGCTTGTACCTCAGTGGCCATGTAAAGGTGGGCTCCCCACTTCCCTAAAACTACATAACATAAAGTACTCCACAGTCAAGTGGTCTACTCAAAGCATAGTCATATGGGCTAAATAGTTAAACGCGTTAATCTTAACGGAGCACGCGGCGTGACTCTTGGAAGTAGGCTGATTTCGAGGGGTCACACGTAGAGGTATGTTTCCTTTGACTCTTTCGATCCTATGGAATGATCTACAGCTCTGTTTATGTCATAACAGTGTCATTCACATCTGCAAATCGTGCCATTGAGGGCACAAATATCCATTTCGTATAAAAATTAAAAACAATAACCATTAATTCGTGATCCTTTCCCTGACACTTTGTCCTTCAATGCTAGAGGTAACATTTCTCGAAATTTGATGGGCGGAAGGGCTGGCCTTCTGCCATTTCCCATCAAAACAGCTGTTAAACGAGTCATTTAAAAGTTTCTTAAAGATTTACTTTACAGCCTGAGAAAATAAAACACCACGAGGGTAGCCATTAGGACTGCAGCACAACCTAGCGGTAACAAACATAAATAATAATAATCATAATTTAATATAATTATTTTATTAATATTATCTGTCAAGTCAAAATTATTTTTTCGATATGAAAAATCATAAAATATAAAAGATAAATTTTTACATAACATTATTATTTTCCATCTCGCGGATAAAAGAACTTTTTACCCAATACTATCGTGGGATCGGCCAGGCCAAGAATGCGGCGGCCGAAAAATTTCTGGAGGTTTTTCGACGTCCACATTTGTTCTTTATAAACCGACAGTTTAACCGTTTCGGCCATCCAGGCATCTTACACATAGCTATCACAGAAGTTATATATTTTCCGAGGTACTGAAACGACATTTCGGAATATTTAGAAGGCATTTCTATAAAAAAAAAATAATAATAATTAGTACCAAAAATCACTACTAAGACACTCTTGGCACTGCAAGCAACAAATATTTTATTTGTACAACACATATGCCCATACATAGAGCTTAACAATACATGGGATAATGCTCAATAAGGTCCGCATTCTAAAGATGTAAAATTTAAATGCGATGAATTATATGTTCAATGGCTGACCGTAATTGATCTCTCTGCGATTCTTCTCGCACAAGGCGCGATTTTGTCTTTTAAAGTTGTCAAAAAAGTTAATTACGACTCCGTGTAGCTTTGTTTGCTTTAATCGCCATTCTTTAAACCATAATCTGATTTGGAAGCAAAGCAAAATTTTCCGTCTAGAGCCACTTTTGCTCACTAGGAGCGCTGCGATTAGGATTTAGGCTAAAAGCGAGTCGACTATATACAAAACTGATACGTAACTCGACTTTTAAATTCAGAAGCTTCTGAAAAATATATTTTCTCAATAAATTCATTAAAAATATCTTAAATTCTTATAAAATAATATCGATTCATTAATAATTAATACAATTAACTTATAAGAATAAAATTTTCATATAAAATAGTTTATGAAAGCTTTGAGTTATATTGTAAACTGATTATATAGTATTTTTTAAAAATTACAACTTATGCAATAATAAAAACATCTTACACAACATTGTACTGTATTATTTTGGTACTTCATTAAAAAGATTATGTTTAACTGCAGATTGTAGTACAGTACCTCAGTATTTCACCACCAAAGTTCCTTTTCTTCTGGTGACTTCTTCCCTGAACTTCTCCACTACCTGGCTGAGGAGAATACACACACACAATCGTAATGAAAATTCTACCAATGTCCAACTTAACGCTCATAATTCTATCACACCTTCGTTTAACCTCACAGACTGTCTTTTAGAGCTTTATCAACTATGATACTAACTCCATTCCTTCTTCCCTCATTCGCTCCACTCGCAAACAGTTTGTACCCTTCACTAAGTTCTTTATTTCCTTTCCATCTTGTCTCTTGCAGGCACAAAATGTTCACTCTCCTTTTTTGCATAAGATTAAGTAACTCTCTACTCTTCCCATTCAATGTTCCGATGTTTAAAGTACCTATTCTTATACTTGTTTTATTCCTCTTCCCTTTCTGCACTAACTTTTTTAGCCGAACCCGTCTTTGGTTCGGTAGCCCAAGCTCATTTGACACAATTTTCGGGCGACATGACTACTAAGCTAGTCTGCCATCTAGATTATTAACAATATTTTCATAAAATTATCCAAACTTTTATTATAGGTATGAATTTAATGTAAATGGGATAACTTTCTTGCCAATTTAGTGTTATGTTTTGAAGCAAATACAGTATCTTGTTTCTCCACCTTGCAAAATAGTGCAGTTTGCAAATGATGTAAAAATGTACAACTCTTTTTGTTATAGCAATTTTGTGCCTGACATTTTCACATCGCATTTGAAATCCACCTATTCTAAATTCAATGCCTCTTCGTTAAAACCGACAATTTCCAGCTCGTTTCTTTAAAAACAGATATCTAAAACCGAATCAACAATCGTATATTCAGATTCAGATTCAGATATTTATTTTGTATATGTCACAAGACATATCCCGGTGCCGCTTGTGCATAACCGGGTGAATACAAGTATATAATATTAANTGCAATTGCAATGCTGCAGTGTGCACTGGTGGATTTACTACAGTATGGAGTTAATTAGATATTGGTTTCTGAAATAAAATTTTTTTCGACAGCCAATAAAATTTTGTCATTAAGTGGTATTAATCATTATTATTAGGGAAACTACAATGAATATAAAAAGTAATGAGTATATCAAGTGCTTTTTTACTAAAATTTAAAAAAATTCAAAATGTGGAGTTAATTGATTTGGCTTGTGAATGGCTAATATATAAATTTATAAAATACATCCAAAATGCATTTTAGACTTTAAAATAGTCCTTCAGTTGGTGCTTAAAAAAAATCGCAAGATAAAATATATAAAGTTATATTAAAAGGCTGAAAGAACGATGAAGACATCACAACTAATAAATTGGCATTATCTCATTGATGCTATACAATAATTTCAATCTTTTTCACATTTCACAACCAAGCCAGCCATGAAGAGTTAGTTGATGTCTCTGAAGGATTGACTGAAACATTACACAAATTAAAAAGAAGAATAGCAATCTCAGTACAACCATTTGCATATTTATACAACCTAGATAATGCCAATTTATTAGTTGTGATGTCTTCATTGTTCTTTCAGCCTTTCAATATAACTTTTATATATTTTATTTTGTGATTTTTTTGAAAAATCAACTGAAGAGGGACTATTTTGAAGTCTAAAATGCATTTGAGTGTATTTTATATAATATATACATATTGGTTTTAATTATTGTAAAATCTTTTTTAAAACATAAATATATGTTAAATTTAAGAAATTTTGTGTTCATGTTCACTGGTGTGGTAAGCCCTAACATAAAGTAACTGTATTAAGTTAGTAGAAATGTTGGATCAAAAATAGTTATGAAACTGACTTTGAAATTGGACATTCCTTGAGATCAAATTTAGTCTTGAAGAAGACTAAATTTGTTTGTCTAGAAATAAGTATTTCTAAACTGGTGGTTATTAATTGGTAAATTAATGCTATTTCTTTCTTTACATTTTATGTGAGTACAGACACAAAAGTAGCATAAATTTTTAAATTTCAAAATATGCATGTAAGATTCAAATGTAGATTGGTTTTGAGTTTTACAGTTAAACACACAATTTTATATTCATAAAGTTTTTATTCACAATACAGGATACCCTTGTACAACATAGTACTTCTACAACATGGTTTCGCTCTAGCAGTTTGAAAATTGGGGATATCCCCCATACAACATGGCTTCCAGTTTTGTTCTAATAAGTTCAAAGCAAGCATGTTGTCTCAAACTTGCCCATGGATTTTAGAATATTAAAATTTTCAAATTATTTTGTGTTTTTCATCAGGTTTACTTTAATCAAAACCAATAGCAGAAGGAAGAAAAAATTGCAATAACTTTCCTACCAATCAGATGTTGTCGTTGCTTTCGTACTTTACCCATTAAGACTGTCACTGTGTTTTCTTTTTATAGATTAATCTTTGTATTTAGTAAAGTTTACTTAAACATTTTTAGGTAAGTGTTGTCAAAAATTTTTTTTAACCGTATGTATTACTTACCTACAAATGGTTACTTCATTCATAAAAATGACAAACAAAATACAGCAGTATCTCAATACTCAAACAATTCAGTATTCAAATGCAAATTTTGGAAAAAAAAATCGCTCAGTACTCGACTGAACAAATGCAATCCACTAGAACAAAATTTCAATTAATAACATATTTCTATTTTGTCATCTATAAAAATGTTTTATTATAAAAATAAAAAAAATATGAAAATGTTGCCAATACCTCTGATCAAGATCAATAAAAAAGATGAGATTGATGACAATTTGTAAAAAGAAAATGCCCTTGTTTAATTAAAATTAATGTTAATATGTAATACAGTACTTTTAATTGTGATTGTTAATTAATTTTTAATTGGAAATAAATTATCGATTGCTTTAATAAACATATTTCTCTTAGTAACAAAAAGAGTAATATACTTGTGTTAACTTCTGGAACATAACCCTATGTTTTGCTTTAGTCCTTTGTTTTGTATAACATGGATTTGCATAACATGGAACTTTTTTGAAACATAATTATCATGTTACATGAGGGATACCTGTACATGCATATATAGTAAAAACTAGCCCCTAACTGCCTTTAGTAGTCCACACCCAACATTGTGCTTTGTGATACTCTCATAATTGTGTTGCAATTTATGATAATTTTTTAACATTATTAGTTGTGTATATATATATTTATATTTATATTAATTAAATAATTATAAATAATATTTTAAAGATCTATTAAAGAGTAATCAATGGTAAGACAAAATGATAATGCAATTATTTAAAATAATAAAAACAAATTAAAAATATGCAAATGGCACTTAAGTTAATCATTCAGTGGACATTGATATAGTGTATGAGATGTTGAAGGTTCAACTAGACATCTAATAAGGCCTAATATATATGACCTTTTTGAGATTTCAGATTTTTCTGGTAATATACTCAATACCTCCTTTTGAATTCATTATTTATTTCTCTGGAAGAAGTCTAGTTCAAACATTTCATGTCAGTGAGTAAATGAGTAAGTCAGTCAGTCAGTCAGTCATGACAAGTAATTTTATATATTTAGCTTCTCTTATTAAATATAGTAATTATAATTAAATTAATATTTATTAAATAATTTAGAATATTATGGAAGAAAAGAATCAGCCCGGAGTGGGACCCAAACCCACAACTCCCACTTACTGTGCAGATGCGTTGCCAGTTACGCCACCCGAGCCTCCAGTCTGTTCTCTTCCAGACATATTTAAATATAATATAACCATCCTTGGTTACTTATGGTGCCAACTGGGGATGACTTCAGCACCCTCATCCTATAAATTCCTACTCATGGCACTCAGCCAGCCATTGCTCAACCCCGGGATGGTATATACATACATAAACATATGTACCAAATATAGTATAATATATTATAATACCAAACAAATATAATACTTATTAAATATTAATTTACTTATAATAATTAAATTTAATAAGAGATGGCACCTAACACCTACATCTAGTACTAAATTATTTAGAATTTAATTTAAAATAACAGTGATAAAGTATCTCATAGTCATTTGGTATACTGTATTACTAAAATATTGGGCTTCTGCATATTGTAACATTTTAAATCACATTTGCACAGTCCAGACATATAGCTTCAGCATGTTAAGAATTAATAAGTGTTTTCAGTATATTTAGAATATAAATTTCTAATATATTATTCATTTCTATAATAATGAAGTATATGTATANTATCCTATATAAGTATAATTGACACAGTTGAATCCCTTAAACTATCCCGAATCGAAAATATATAATATTATAATCGTATATTATAAAAAAGTCAAAAAATAAAACTGAAATAACTAAAGAAAGTACAAAAACACTTTTAAAAATACACACGTGCTAACTTGAGGTGAGCAATTCAGGTGGGAATTGTTCCTTCAAGTTACTAAAGACACTAAACTAGTTACTCAAGTTACTTCCCTCAAGTTACTCAAGACACTAAACTACTAACACATTCTTCATTCTGTATTTCTTCTACAAATATGATTTTACACGGAACGGCGAATTCTTCATCTGGATTTCAACTTGAATTAATGAAAATGTTCCACGGTTTTTGGGAATGATCAAATTAGTTTAAAGTATTTATTAGAGTTCGTAATTATTTATTACTGACCAACAGATATGTCCGGTGTTGCCCGTCCAAACAGGAAAATGGTTACCGGAACCGTCTACCTTAATTGTTCCCAGGAACCGTCTAGTCAAACTGTTCCGATGGAACCGTCTAGCTCAAGGATGGCCAACGTTTTTTACAGGCGTGTCTATAAATGGGCATAAAGTTTTTGGCGGACCACTGTCCCCTAATCCGGTTTAAATTACCATCCCCTAATCCGGTTTAAATTAGTAGTTAAAAATGAATTAAATAACATTAAAAGTAAACAGGTATTGTTAGGTGGATGTAAAAACAAATATTAAATAAGCCACTAGCGTTAGTTTGAAAGGAGCCTTTTTATTGAAAGGAGAACAAAAAAAAAAAAAAAAAAAAAAAAAAAAAAAAAAAAAAAAAAAAAAAAAANTTGAGGTTGATAACAGGCGGGCCTTGTGTTGGCCACCTCTGATGTCGCTTAACGGTTCTGATGAAACCGTTCTGTCCGAACAGTTTCTCACTCAGATCATTTCCAACAGATTCAGTTCCGCTGCCGGAACTGGTGTTAATTTACACAACTTTCGCCAATTTCTCAAGCGTCTAGAACCTGAGCGAGCATTAGTTCTAAATTATGATGCTTTCGGAGAACAGCCGATGCCTAAAGTAGTTCTAAAATAGCTAAAGTGTCCAATCATGCTGATTTTAGAGATTGTATTCTGATTTCAAATATGTACTGAATTTTAAAGTCGCACTGATTAAGAAAAAGAATTTCCGAATAGTTCTCCTAGCAAACATTACTTCCCCTCCACTTATACTTGGCTGAGTGTGAGGAGGTTTTAGTCTTGAACCCTGTCTCTTCTCTATAACTATCTTAAGTATCCTTTCCAAAATACAGTCGGCCCCCCTATAACACTGTTGATAATTTCGTTTTATATGAATTCCATGTTGTATGAGTCACTTAGATTTTACAAATACGTAAGCCGTTCACAGCCCGGCACACGTATTTGTAAAATGTAAGTGACTCGTACAACATGGAATTTATATAATACGGAATTATCAACAGAGTTATAGGGGGGGTCGACTGTAATGTTGTCTAGATAATATTATGGTTGCGTAGGTCATGTGAGTAATGAATTTATAATTATCTCTTTCTGCCCTGTGGTTACTAAGAGGGTCTTTTCTAGCAAACGCATTATGGGTTCAGCCAGGCCTACAATGGGCGGCAGGGTGGTGAGAGAGGGGAACGATATATCCGTCCGGATCACTTCCTCCCGAAAAATCCCTGTTCCTTCAGAGCGATAGGATGCCACATTAACCATTCAGCCATTCGGTCGGAGCTGAATTATTTATGAAAAAACATGAGGGTCTAAGCAGGATTTATATTTTGCTGTTCTCTGCACATAATTTAAAAAATCCAGTAACGAGTTACTTAACTTTTCCGGCAACATTTTAAATTGCGTATTTGGAGCCATCTGTTATAATATTTTAGTTTTTTGGCTGATGCCATACTTTCTGTTATATATAACAGAGCCGTGAAAGTAAAAAAAATAATAATAATAATTATTCACTATTTCAAAGTTATGCAAGTTATTTAAAAGAACTTAACTTTAAAAAATATATATTGAATTACATATTATTTAAATTATAATAGTGTATTAATGATGATATTTGGCTCTAGAGGTTTGTTTATTAACCTTCAGAATAAAGAATTTTTGAAAAAAAACCTTAATGTTTTCATTGTTCATAACAATAAGGACTTTAAGATGTGAAAAAATAACTATTAGAATTTATTACTTAAACAAAAACAAGCATTGTTTAATATAATTATGAATAAGGAACCTTTGTAAACAAGTATAGGCCTATAACTTATATTATACAAATAAATATAATAAATTAGATACACTCATTCATTTTACCAAAACAACAAATTCAATCATTTCGTTCATTTGTCAGTTATCCACTTCATACCAGAGACAATTTTAATATGAAAAGAGACATTCTGACTTAAATACTGCTCAAATTTATCTATGCAATAAATTAATTTTGTATTATTAATCTAGTCTATACTATGCTCCAATTCTGTATCTTCAATACAATATATGAACAGTCATTTTCTAGGATTATCACATCCCTAGACACCATAATCACCAATCAACTACTTTATTTTATCCAGATTCATTTCAGAAATTGCAATATTTCCCTCTTCGATGGGTCTTTTTCCATACAAGCAAAACAATTTTCCGATACTGCAACACTACAATAAATATATAAAGTACATAAATTGGTGTCCACTAAAAGCAGTTAAACATTTTACCTTCCAATTGTTTAACTACTCTCATACTTTAATCATTTCCATCTTTTTAATATTAAGGATGTGATAATTACTATAAAATTATAGCACTTTGACAGTTCGTATATTGATAATGTATTATTATCAATATATTCTTTTTGCATGTTTTGGCTTAAAGCTGAAGTTAATTTCTTAATCAGGTTAAAGTATTCAAAGAAATACATCTGGTTTTGTTAATCACAAAGATATTTGATATTTTGAAAACAAGATAATTAAGTACTGTATATTTCAAAAGAAAAAAAAACATAACGTTCCTTTAGTTATGAATTTCTATGTTATAAAATCTTATCATGTGGATACTCTAGAAATTTACATAGTCTTAATTGATTATATTATGTAAAACAAGTAAACAAACAAAGTCAATATATAAAAAATTTTTATGGTCAATTATGTACAGAATCATTGCAATACTTTTACAAAAATATAATTCAGAAAAAACATTTTAAACTAGTTATAAATTTACAGAATATTTTAAGAAACAATTTTTAAAATTTTACAAATTTATGGTAAATAACAATTTGCAGATCTAAATTCATGGAAAACTTTTAAGGCACATTAACTTATTTTAAAATAAATCTGTATTGCATTCTAATAGTAATTTAAAGCATTATACAGAATAATACTGTATTGAAAAATAAAACAATGCCTATAGTTATTGGCACATAAATTTACTAAAAAAAAGCTTTGGAGAATATTTGCATAATTGAGTATTGCATTTGTTTAGTTACTATATAACAAATAACAATTGTTAGCTGCAAAACTATATATACGATATTTACAATTATAGTACAAAAATTTGGAGTTCATGAAATATCTACATAGTGAAAACAAAAATGTAAGTGAAAACAAAAGTAATATTTTACTTTTACAAAAATTTTATATAAAAATAAAAATAATTTTTGTATTTTTTGTACTGGAAATTTTTAAGGAAATGTTTTAAAAAATGAATAATTTCTTTGAGCAAATTTTACAAGATGTGCTTTAATGAGTTTTGTAGTTTGTACATGAAAATTAGGAACTACATTACTGACGAGGCTGAAACCTTGCCATATAAAAAGCACAATCTGAACAATATACTGTTGGCATATTTATGAATTTCTTTCTACATAATTGACAAAGAATACCAGTTTGTTGAGATGGTTGACACTGTATAACATTTTGTTGAGGCTGTTGACAAGATAAAATAGTTTGCTGATTTCCAGATTCCGAAGACTCTGTTTTTTCATCGTTTGCAGTAAAGTTCTGCATTACATGCTGTCTGTAAACTCTCTCAAAAACTGGATTTGGAAGATAATCATTGATGTCATCATCTGCACAAGCAACTAATACTACTTTATCAGAAAAAGTTACAGTCTTTTTTGTGCCTGATTTTTTCTTTGCATCTGGTCCAATAGCCATTTTCATTTCAGCTTCACCCAATGCCATGTCTCTTAATAAACACAGTCTTTGAACTGCAGTTTCGTAATCTGGTGGTCTAATTGGACGTCTCGGCTCACCTGAAATTTTTTGATTATTGCTCTCTATTGCATCTAATTTTGTTGATTCTTCATGTCCTGGGATATCACAGAATGATGATGAATCATTTAAATGATTAGTGTTACCATTAAATAATTTAATTTCAGAATTCTGTTTATGTTGAATGTGTTTATCTTCTTCGTTACATACGGCTGTTTTTTCACCACTCGTATTACGAAGTGAACTAGTTCTTACAGAATTCTGAGGTTGCAATTTAGCACAAAATATATTTTCAAATTTTGAAGCTAAGTCTTTAACAGAACATGATTTCTGTTCAATTGCTTCAGAATCTAACTCCTTTTCTTTTTGCAACATAGAATCATGTGGTCTGGAATTATTTACAGTGAAATTTTCTGTTGGGAAAGATATTCCATTTCCTTCAATATTTTTGAAAGTATTTTCCTGTAAATTATTTAAAAATACTTAAATAAATTTTCATTAAAGGGAAAAAATATAGTAGACCACCCTTTTATGACCTAATTTATTCTTGAAAAACTATCAATGAATCAAAACACTTGTAAATCAAACTCTAACTCCTGTTGACTCAATGTACACTTATAATGTATATCAATACATTAAGGTTCTATTCCTTAAAATACATCTTGAACTATATTATATACATGAAAATGACCAAAATATAAAAAATGATATATAATCATAATAGGAAATTTACACTAGTCATAAAGTGGAGGGTCTACTGTATTCATTTTAAATACGTTTACATTTATTCAAAATATATATCAATTCAGTTAATCTAAATAAGTTAAGAGAGATTATATTGAATGCAAACCTGAAGATAAAAAATATAAACAGGTTTTAATCCAAATAAAAAAATGTATACATTTATAAATTTTTTGTATTCATTTTTTTTAAATTACAAATTCAAACCATAAAATCCAATTGTAGTAATTAAATTTAGATTACAGTAATAATCCAAATTGATTAAATAATTACCAAAAAAAATTAACTTTACAATTAAATATTATTTTTGATAGTAATTAGAAGCATTGTTCTTATTTTACATTGTGAAGTTTTAGTAATAAAATGCAATCAATAACAATTCAATAGTTTGAATTGTTATTGATTCATATTTACTGAACATTATAATAAATATCTTCTTAAATAAAAATATAAATGAGCCAAACACTAATACTAATAGAACTTGTGAAATAAATTAACTATTAAACTAGTAAATTTTCATATAAACTTTATATAAAGTTTGTGCAAAATTTCAAATGCTGATTTTGTACTCATCCACACATGTATTAATTGTTTTTAATAAGAATAAATTGGATATGTGGGCTGAAAATAGTCTGCATGTTATGAAAACACTCCATTGTTAATTTTAAAAAGTTAAATAATACAATATTAACAGAATCATTTACTGTAATTTGGTTTAAATTACTAAAACAATCTCAGTAGATCCTTTTTTAATATATCTTTAAATAATATTTAACTGCTGAAGGGAAAATGCTAATTTATTTAAATGGTACAACAGGTAAAAAGAACACCTAACTAGTTGAAATTTAAAATTAAGATTTTAGTAATTTAAACTTTCTATACTATTCCTTCATATTGTGTATAGAATAAAATAAAATGATTATGTTTTTTAAATTATTTTGTTTTTTATTAAAAAAATTAACTTGATATTAGCTTTCTTAAAAAAGTAAATGCAGATTTTATAAACAAGAATGTAAATATATTTTATATACAAAACTAAATTTAAATTACCTGCTTTTGCATCGTTTGTGAATTATCTGTCAATGGAATGCTTCTATCAAATTTCTTTTTCTCTGAAATCATATTAGTTTTTAAAATTAACTTTGATTTAAAATTGCTTTTTAATAATAAAATGTTTTAAAAATAAATATAATTTATTTACCTTTGAATTGATTTTCTGTTGAATATTCCAGTTGTAAAGGTTGAATTCTTTTCTCCATCATTTGATGGTGCTTATTTTGTAATTCTTGAAGCAGTGGATTTGTTTGAGTAATTTCATTTTGATTTGAATTTGTTTCTTTTTCATTCTTTGGTTTCATTATCTGTTTTCTTTTTGCTTGAAGTTCTGCAAGAAAACTATTTGTGGGAGGTGGTAATTCATCTTCTGAAATTTCAGATTTTCCCGTTACTTCTCTAGCTTCTGCTTTCGACGTTACAGTGAAAGGAGTGAGAAGTAGCTTTGCAGATTTGGCTCGAACTTGGGGAGGACTGACACGAATAAGTAATGGTCTCTGATTTACATTCTTATTTATGTAAGCACGAAGTGGTTGATGAGATACACGACTAATATGTGGAAGAGGAGCTTCAGTATTATTTTTTCTAGTTTGGTTATCAATATTTAATGCAAAATCATCGTAAGATCTAGCTTCTTGATCAGATATTTCTTGTCCTTCTCTTAAATCTGGCAAACTACGATTTTTTCTCCTCATAAATCCACCCATTAATTTTTGTCTTATTTTATGTTGTTTTTTATTAGTTTGGCAAACTGCTTCACATGCCATATCTTTTATAGCAGCTGGTCCAGAATAAGTTCTGAATAATGCAGGTCTCTTAGTCTGTTCCCAATCATTTGAATTTTCATTAAACCCTGAATCCTTTCTTTCAATTTTCTGTTGAGGAGGAGATTTTCTCTGTCTGTTTATTCTGAGAGAAGGTGATTTTTCAAATATTCCTATTTTAGAGAAAGTTTTATCAGCAATAGTATCTATATCTGACTTTGTTTTGTTATTTCCAATTCCATCAGTCCTAAATTGTTTTCTTTTTTCTATAATTTGTTTTTGTTGTTCTGATTTACTGCTTTGTCTTTGTTTTTCTAGAAAGTCTTTATAAATTTGCTCATCCTTTGATTTTTCTGTGTAATGATCTTTTCTATTGCTTCCTTTTTTAGGCAAGGTACCATATAATTCAATTGTCTTCTTTGATTTATCTATGCCCTCTGATAAAGATTTTTTACTGCCTTTACTTCCCTGACGAACATGACGGCTATGATTACTGTCTCTACTAGACTGGCGACTATGATTAATTTCTGCTTCTTTTTGTTTTCTTTTTTCAGTCGTTTCAATTTCATTTAGTTTTCTGTGTAAACATGATGATCTCATTACACAAGTACTATGTTTCATTTTGGCTGATACTAATGATCTAGAATTGCTGTAAGGAGCATCCATTGCTGCTCTTGCTCTTGCTATAAAAGTTTTAAAAAATCAAAATTTAAATTTTTTAATTACAAAAACTCATAAAACACCAATAAAATATTTTCAATTAATAATACATACAAGCTGCCAGATCACTCAGCAAAGCTGCCATCACTAAATCTCCTTCCTGTTCTTTTTCATGTGATTTGTTTAAAAAAAGATCAGCTTCTGTACATAATTTGTCACAATCTACACTAGATACTGAAAATTTTAAATAATTTTTAGTTTTATAATTTTTTTCGAATCATAATTTTTAAAAATTTTATAATAAAAATAAATGTACCAGATTGCTGTTTGCAAGCTGTCTTATTATCAACCAAAACAAGACTTTCAGGAATTTGACAGAGACGAGGATCCAGCTTCATAGTTGTAGTACCGACAGATGGATAACTATCAGTACTTGATAAAGAAAAAGAATCATAGCCTTGATCAGAAAACACATTAATGTAATCATGATTAGCTTTTCCTGCTATGCCATGACGAAAACCGGGTGGATGTAACCTAAAATTATAAATTTGAAAATTAATCATTTTCTGTAAATAAATAAAATTTTATAACTAAATTTCAGACAATTTACCATTTATTTCCAATAGCAAATAAATAGGAATTGTCAATTGAAGTACTGCTTGAAGAACTTGCGCTATTTCTGTCACCACTCCAGTTTCCTGAATCCCTTCTTCTTGACAGATTCTCAACGTCAGGAATATCAAGTTTTAGTTGTGGTTTCTGTGCTTGATTTTCAAAAGAATCTAAGCTGCTAATACTGTTTCTATTTTCAATAGTAGAAAGTGATTTTTGTCTTTGAAGTTTTTGAAAGTTCAAAACACTTTCCACAGCCTTCCTGCTGATATATGTTTCTTGATCATTACTTACATCAAGAGACTTTTCTTGGCTAACTGATTGGTAATTTTCACAGTCGACAAAATGACAGTGAGCAGTATGTACAGAATGATCAGAGGAATGATTATGATGACACTGACAACCTTTTATGCAACTTGATGATGGTAATGATGGATTATAGCTGTATGTATTATGTTTTTGACAATGATGAATATTCACATGATGATGATATAAAGGAAAACTAGGATATTTGGTATTTTGATATTCTTCTTTCATCAAAACTTCAGGAGCAATATTTCGTAAAGGAACATTATTTAACTGAGCCAATTTTTTTGTTTGGGCATTGTGTTCTGGTATATGCATGGAAGGTGTAGCTTCTGCAATTTTAGCTGTAAACAAATATGAAATTTATAAGCTCTATTTTATTCAATTTCTATTTCTTAACTATTTAAGTTTTACATTTTAAAAATTAAAATAAATGAATATTAATATATAAAGGTAAAAGAAAATAAGATTTTTACCAATTTTCTTTTTATGATTTGTAGCTAGTGTGACAGTTCTAGGTGCTGTTGTAGTTGATACAGGGGTGCCATTTGGATTAGCATACAGTAAAAGAAGTGGCTGAAAATGACCTCGACGACATTTTTCAACAACTTGATCCCAACTTGGACCAATCTAATTTAAATAAAACACTTTTTAAAATAAACAATTAAGGAACATATATGAATGTATATTATAAAAATGTTTATATATAAAATATTCACACGAACACAATTCATAAAATACTTATTTGCTTTAAATTAGAATAGCTTAGGTTCTATAGCCATAAAAACTAGAATGATTTCTCTTCCTAACATAATTGAATTTTTTTTTTTTAACTTTTTTTGGGAGTGAAAACTTTTAGAAAAATAGTTTAAATTGTCTTTACATTTGAGGAGCTTCTTTAACTTGATTTCCTTCCAGAATTAAGTTATTGAAGTTGCATATAAAGACTTTTTGGATGCCGTATATTTAAAATATACAAAACTGATTAAAAATATATATTTTTACACACCTCTCTTACTGTTGCATCATCAAAATATATCCAAATTCTCAGTTTAGTATGAAAGAAGAAAGTAGAATAATGTTTTCCATAGTATGTCACAACACCAACTAATTGATGCATAGCTGTTTTAGCCCATTTACTATCTACAACTGAATGAAAAATCTATAATAAAAATAACAACATTATCAACAGAAAATAAAAAAAACAACAAAAAATTTCAAATGAAATTACTATTTCAATAAGTTTAAATAATTTTATTTCAAAATTTAAAGGTAAAATAATTTTCACTTACATCAGTTAAATGTATGACTGTTCCTATAGTTTGGAAGACTTCCATAATATGTTCAAGTGTAGGTCTTTCAGAATCCCAAACTAATCCAATACTCACTAAGAAATTAATATAAAATTTTAATTACTAACCAAAATCACCCTACCAAAATATTAAAAATTATTAATAGTAAAAACTTACCAATTTCTGGCTGATTTATTAATACTCTTCGAATCTGAATTTTAGCTCCACAAGAACTCTGTAATTTTAATTTTTTATTTTAAAATCTTAAATCAGTACAATATATTTTATAAAATGCTAATGTTAAAAATTTTTAATATTTACAGGGCAAGCTCGAATATCACCCATTCCACCCGCTCTCTTCAAAAGTTCTCCAAATGACTGTTTATTGTATTCTTGCTTAGTAACAGATGATTGTGAACTAAATACAAAAAAAAAAAATAAACAAAGTGATTATCATCATAAATTAAATTATAAAAAAATAATTAAATAAAAAATTTAAAAGAATTTTTCATTTACCATAAAGCAGATGCTGAAACATAATGTACCATTTGTGTAAATGGTAGAGGTTCAGACGTGGCACCACAGGCATGACAACATGTCTGATACAAATAACATTTTATCAGTGTTTGAAATAAATTTTTTTATCTGAATATTACAAAATGGAATTTTAATCCGTTTACCTGTTCTATAAGAACCATAGCAAATTTTTGATGCGAAATACAATGGGCAACGCTACACATATCTTCAGATTGCTGACTGGCAATATGAAAGTGAATGCGTTGTAAAATATTTTCCTAAAAATACATTTTATAATCGTTATTTCTTTTTAGTATTATATATTAGTACATTGTAAATTAGTTATTCTTTATTAATATATATGACCATGTCTATTAGACAAATAATAATTTTACTTACAAAACATTCGGCAGCATCATCCATAAAACCAAGTTGGAATCGTCTCTGATCACAAAATGTTTCTGCCAATGCTCTTCTTAATGCATCAGGTGGCAATGCTGATTCTTGACTGTATTGGAACTGAGTGAATAGTTCCTGCCATACAAACACCAACAAATTATTAAATTGATTACTTTTAACTAGTATTTAAGAATGAAAACACTATTTTTATTAGTATTTTTCATCTAAACAAGACTAACCTTTAAAGCACAAAAAATGCAAGATTCAGCCATGCAAGTATGACCACTCAACTGTCTAAAACTTCTTCTAAATATATCAAGATGCCACAAAACCTAGAATGGAAAAAATAAAATATGAGTTGAAGTTTATATCCAATCATGCTGAAACAGCATTTATATGTAATAATAGTAAAATTATATATATATATAAAAAAAAAATAACAACCTGTACTGCACTATTAAGAAAACAATTATTCTGTCCTGGCATGTTTAGCAATCCTTTGGTATGAGTAATGGACATGGTGTTGCGAGGGGTCATCATATAACTCAATTGATTATCGGATGGCACCAGACCTCTGGTTCCAGGACCAGGACTGGGTGATGGAACAGGGACCATTTTACTGCTGTCATCTATTAAATGGAAACAAAATAATTATACAATAGTTTGTACTGTATATCTAAAAAATAATAACAAAAAGTTTTGTATACTTAATTGTTTATACATATAAAAAGTTAAATTAACTAAATAATAATCAATTCTAGAATAGTATCTTCAGAACTTCATCTTGTTCTAATGTTAAAGAAGCACTACAGTGTTTGATTCGCTTTCAATCGATAGACTCTACTGGGAATTATGAATCAGTTGGCGATAGCACACGCCTTAACGGCTGTTGTGCAATGTGTACGCAGGTGGTATCGATTTACTTTTACTCCATGATAATAATTACAATAATTTGGTAAGCGCGTAACTTCCATTCCCGATTTTTTGACGTCCAATGATTAAGGATGCAGTTTGATTATATTAGTTAATTATTCGTGATTTTTCTATAATCATTACAAAATACAGTTATTTACGTGAAAAAAAAAATCGATATTAGATAATATTCAAATAAAATATTCAATAACCTCAATGAGGGTCATTACCACTAGAAATTGGGAGAGAGAGAGAGAAAAAAATTTGTTTTAAATGCTCCAATTTTTAAATCCAATAGGTATAGAAATGTAAAGAATAATTTGACACCAAATCTAAATCCTGATAAAAATTTATGGGCTAGTTCAAGTTACAGCTGTTATGAAATTTGATTTATTATAAAATACACGTTTAAAATTAATAACAGGTTTTTAATCTATGTGGGACGAATTAGATTGGGATATAAAATAAACTTTAAAAAAAAATCCGGTCGTCTCCCCTATAACACTGTTGATAATTCCGTTTTATATGAATTCCGTGTTGTACGAGTCACTTAGATTTTACAAATACGTGAGCCGTTCACAGCCCGGTACACGAATTTGTAAAATCTAAGTGACTCGTACAACACGGAATTCATATAAAACGGAATTATCAACAGTGTTATAGGGGGGTCGACTTGTATAAGTTTTATAATATTTAGAATAATGATTATGCCAAGCTTTACAGTTTGCCATCTATAAATATCGACAATAGAAGAGATCCGTGTGAATAAAGGGAAAATCCAGTCCCAGGACTACTCCCAGATTTAAAAGAAGCCATAGTTCTATTTCCCTTCTATAGTTTCCTGCTCCATAAAAATCCATGTTTTTTTTTTTGCTTACGCATTAAAATTAATGATTCAATATATAATTTAAATTTAAAAAGCTTAATTTTCTATACGAATTAGTAACAAAAATCTATTTATTATATTATAATAAACAGGGAACACAACAAACAATTAATTTTATTTATTTATTTATCTTTCTAGGTTACTTAATTACAAAAACTTTACTAAAAAGGAAACAGAATAATACTTAATTCATTTAAAAACTTAAATTCTATACTATATAAAGCAGGTCTATACAATAATACTTGAAATCACGCGAGTTTCCGAATTACCAAAGCATTACTAAACTTTAAAAATATATATTAAATATAAATCCTACTACACAATAAATCAAATAATATTCGAAGAAACAAAAATTAAATACAAACTTATATAAGAACAATACTCTGTAGGCATGTGTGTTCGGTAGACAAGAGAATATTCGAGTGACCTCGCACGAATGAATGCGAAGACATCGATTCGATTGTCATTCAGATCCAAATATAACCTTATATAGTCTGAATGTTATATTATTTTCCAAATACAGTAGACATTTTTTCAAGAATAATACGTATAAATAATTAAAATATTCAACTGTTTTATATTAAAAAAAAATATATAGTATTTAAGTTGAGATATTTATGTTGAAAACACTTATGAACTTAAAGATAACAATAGTCAGAGGAGTAACTAGAGTCGGTGTCGTTGAACTATAAAAAGTTACTCCGCACGCAAGTGACATCAACAATCATAAGGAGCATCAACAAGATATATCGCTAGCTTATGCCATTATTCTATATTTATCAGCATGGAACTCCAACCAATTTTCTATGACAGGATCTTTTATAACCAGTTCAAGTGACTCAATACTCGATTATAATCGTTACTTTCTGTATTAACAACGTCGAAAAGAGTCACGAAATTCTTTTTTATAACCGCTTAAAACGATACAAATTGACGTTATTTAAATTAATAAACGATTCGAGCATCTATATCGTTTTCTATATTTTTCAATTTACAAGGATCGTGCATTTATATCACCAGATATCTCGCGAGGGAAATCTCTTAACTACTTAAAATGTATCTGTGTATTTTCTACCTGGCTAATCTCTAGGACCCCTCCGATAACTTAAAACACTAAACAGAATACGGGGTAAAAGAACTAGCGATTATGATGGGAAATTTACAGGGAATTATCTATTTTTAGCTTCCAGACTTATCCAATATCAAGACCGTTCAGAACAGTACTTCATTATCGAGCACTTGAACGACTTTGATTAGTGTAGTGTCTTTTAATTCATTTAACAAAGCAACCGTTTATTCGATATCAGCCAAAGTTTTAAAAAGTTTAGTTTAAAATCGTTCATTAATATTATTAAGTAATTCGATTCTCGAACACGACATAATGGAATATAAAACGAAAGCAAAGTCCAATTTTTGTATTATTAAATTTAATGGCCTAAATTACCATTGGATTTTTATGAAAGTCGGTTGCCCAGCGATAAGTCTATCCAGAACAGTTAATTCAAGACAGATAAAGTAAACGATTGACTGACCACTTTGAGTGATTGCAGCTTATTTCCGTTTCCGAATCCGTCCACTCGGAACAAAGCAGTGGATTGTATCAAAAACACTGGAACAAAATTGTTAAACCAACGGTTCTTACAGTGCCAAAGGCTAAAAAAAAAAAAAATCCCAGCAAATCAAAATTAAAGTAAATTTATTGAACCGTATAAGAGCATAAAAATCACAATGCAGTACTTTACGAGTGAAGACGGTGTGTATTTTGTACGTCACGACAGATTGCAGATAGGCTAATGATGCATTAGTTATTAAATGAAGAGAACGTCTTATCAAAATTTGCGGTTGCAACAATCAGGAATCGATGAAATAAAGAGGAATATGATGTTCTAGTCAGACGAAGATCATTTATTAATAACAAACTCGTTCTTTAATATAAATTCATTAATATGCTATAGATGTTTGCAAATTATCTTATACGATAATATTAAATTTTATCTTCAATAAATTAAACTAATTTGCCCCATCGTGACATATTCGACATACCAATTATATACGTCGTTCCGTTTGTTGCACAAGTTCACTTTCGATTTTTTACACGATTCATTTTATGCAAATTTCGATTTTCTCGATAAATGTAAGAGTGTTGTTCGACCGCGTAATGTCGATCAAACGTAAAAAAAAACAAAGAATCGACACACAGGGAATTGTTAGGCCAAGTTGTGTTTTTTAGTTTATAAAACAATACGAGAGAATCGCGTGAGGACTCACAAAACGCTCTTTGTAATATTACTGACAGCTGGATAGATAACAATACGAAGAACGTTATACATTTCATATTATCAAATCTGGGTAAATAATTCTGTTCTGATAAATGCAAACCGAAGTTAAGATGAAAACAAGGAGCTCCATTCTCGTCGGAGGAACGTTTCCTCTGTAACAGTGACCCTTGACAAGTCAATTGACAAGAAACAGACTTCCCGAAGAAACGTCCCAATCATCCCTCGATGTAATCTGAAATTCCAAGAATAGTTTACACCACTTGCGAAACAAGTGAAAGAGCAGTTTTGGTACAGTGACTGAATAAATAACGAAACGTTTGCTCTGCCATTAGAGACAAGACTTTCGACAATAACAAAGATAACACAGCGAGTTCAAAATATTTTATCTGACGCTTTACTTACCAAGAAAACATGAAAATTATTGCAAATTTTTACTTTAAAAAGTCGTATTATTATTATCATTAATATATTCTTTTTAATATATTGAAAGAAGGAATGTAGTTTCAAACTTGATTCTGTAAAAAAATATATATACAGTATATAGCTGAAGACAGCATTTTAACTCTAGCCTTTGGCTATTTTAACTATGCTATCTACCTATTTTTATATAAGTAAAAAACACAAATAATTCACCTTTAACAGCTATTTATAAGGGAACAAAATTGCCGTATATTCGTCATAATGACCGGATCAAATTTTTATTTCTAGTTAAAAATTTAATCGGACTTTTCTGAAATAACTTCTTGTAGAAAAATAACACGGAAAGAATAGAATAAAATATAATTCCGTACACAAAGCGAGTATTTCCTATATAATAGAAAAGGCTTGTAAACCTCTAAACATCCAGTTTGTCAGTCAACTCCAGGAAACTTATAACTCGACCGGCGGGCAATTTTCCAGGAATACGATACACGTCTGTAATACTAGAGTTATTCTTTCATAAAAGTTAAATACAGTAGTTAAATTTCTATTGTGAAGTTTCATTTAAAAATCAAATACACTAGTTATTTTGTATTTTAATTATTTAAACAAATATATTAACGCAATTTTTTTAAATAATAAAAAAAAGAATAATTACCACGAATAATCCATACATATACCTATTTAAGAGATCTAGTAATAAAAATACTCTGCTTATAGATATTTAAATGTCGATATAAGCGTCAGAAACAAGATTCTAAGTTACCTCTATCTATGACGTGTCGGGTCAAAATAGTATAAGCTATGGTAAAAACTTACCCAATGTAGCGATGATTTTCACACGGGATAATCCTATATATTTCGTATATTCCACGTGTTCATGGTGACGGTGCTGTCACATTTAAACGTTCGACACCACACATAAAGAACAATCGGAAGGAACTAACACAAAATACGAGAGAAGCCAAACGAAAACAACCACCTTGTTCAGTATTTTCTGGTGGCGACGCGGTACCTGTTGGCGGCCAACCAATGGACGCCGAGTTGATACTCTACACCTTGCCAGAGGCTAATCGCAGCTTTTCCACCAATAGCTGCAATCGTCAGCCTTTATTAACCAATAGGAGAATTT